AATAATGAATTCATCTTCTCCTGGAACGTGGCGGGCGCGTTGCATAAGCCGAACGGCATTACCCTCCACTGAAAATGACCCAACCTACAGGTGAACGCTGTCTTTTCTTTGTCCTTGTTGTTCATTGGTACTTGCCAGAAACCACTCTTCAAATCTATAGTTGAAAAATACTTAGCGCCGGAAAGAAAAAGGTAAGCATCATCGATATGAGGTAGTGGGTAAGCATTTTTCTTGGTAACTTTATTTAAAGCTCTGTAGTCCACACATACTCTATTAGATCCATCTTGTTTTTTAACAAGTAGCAGGGGAGAGCTCCACGGCGAATCTGAAGGCTCGATAATACCTTGAGTTATGCTTTCTTCTACAAATTGTTTTATTGTTGCGTGTTCTGGAGGGGTGTGTGGTCTACCGTGCGTTTTGATTGGTCGGGCGTCGCCAGTATCAATATGATGTTTATAGGATCGGTCCATCATGACCACTTCGTCTCTCCAACACTCCGGGGCTATAACTTTAGCTTTATGAGCTAACTTATCACCAAAATTCTTATCTTCAATTGTGAAGAGCTTTGGTTCGTAATTCCTCGGTCTGATGGTAAATCCGTTTTTCACAACGTAATTACCAGTGGTGTAGTTGACGAGCGGTTGAGCTTCTCTTAACCAGGGTAGGCCCAGGATTAGTGATATGTTTGGGAGGGGAAGTATGAAGGCTTTAACATCGAATTTAAATGTTGCCATACTTCTATCATCTTCGAATTCGGCCTCGAAAATAATGACTTCATTGCAGGACTCCCGAGCTCCGTTGGCGAGCCTGACGTTCTGTTGTTCAACGGTTTTGATTTCAATTCTTCCTGGGCACAGTTTTTTCATTTTTTCGACGCGTTCCGTGGAGATGTAGTTCGCCGCGGCACCGCTGTTGATTATGGCGTCAAGTGGGATGTTCCGGAAGAGGCATGGATAGATTGGCAGTGAGGTTTTCGCTTCTTCCTCATGGGAAGCAAGATCTATGCCGTGATAATCTTCATTACGTGGAAGAACTGGCTTCATCTCCACCATGGCCAGGTCGGCTGGTATGTGCTCCGGGGGCGGTAAGTCGACAGCTCTCGCTTTGAAGAATTCGTAGTTGGAAATACGGGGGTCATCTTCATAAGGTGAAATCGAGCTTGATTCGATAGCCGCGATACTAGTATTTTCTTCGTCGGCAGTACAATCGGACCCAAATTCGGTCTTATTTGCCCAGTTGGTATAGGAGGTTGATAAGATTCGATTCCAGGTCTCAACACTCTCCAATTCTCTTTCCGCCAAGTCTACAGGGTCCAGAGAGGGTAATGGAGAGGGAGATCGGAAATTCGTATATTGGTATCCATCCATTAGTGTACTGTCCATCTTTATTTTCTTTGATGGGTCTTTCTTTAAAGTTTCTTCTACGCCCAGGTAATAGATATCGTGATTACTATTGGGGTCGTGTGCTGGGATTTTTTCGATAGGTGTGTCTTCTCAAAGAGGACGTTTGTTGTTGACATTGTTGACTTGATTCGCGTCTAGGTTAAAGAATTTTACACCATTAGACACTGTCGGGGGGCTGTCCTCATTTCCGTAAGCTTTACACGACTTACAGCATCTGTATTCCTCGGCATCTTCCAGGACTCTAGCGACAGCCGCTCTTTCTTGTTCTAAATCTAGAAAGTTGTCCGGGTTCATATCTCGAAGGGCTTCTAAGTAATGTTTCTTATAATTCTCAAGATACTCTCTTCCATCCTCAGTGGGTCCGTCGAGGGATTCACTCGATTCTCTTGAGGCCCTGAAGACCTGGCCATTCGCATCCGAGAAAGGTGTTATAAAGAATTCTTCTTCTTGGAGTTCATGATCTTGAAACGGAGGAATGAAAGAATCAAGGGAAGAAGAGTTTGAGGGAACGTCAATAAGATGGTCTATGAGCAATAGGTTAGGTTTGTGACGGCTGAAGTTGTTTTGACGACCTTTTGATCCGTTGAAGGTCTTCTTCTTTTGTGGACACTTGTTGGACATATGTCCTTTCCCGTGGCAGTTGTAACACTCCACGGTAGTTAGGTCTACGTTATCTAAGTCCATAGGTCCTGAACCGTTAGTGACGGCGTGGGGCTTGCCAAAGTGGTTGGAGTGGTTCGAGGATTTGAAGATGTTGCGGTGCGAGTTGAAGTGGGGCTTTCTGTCAGGGATTTTGTTCGGAGTCGAGTGCTTGTGGTCATAACCCTTGAAGCCTCAATTATTAATTTTGACAGTTCGTTCCGCTTCTCTAGCAACCGCGTATACTAATTCCATGTCTTTTTTTGATCGTATGTCTTCTTTATTATTTATTTTTTCTCGATAGTGGGCCGGGAGTTTATCGGTGAAAGCAAATTTACGAGCTTGGAAGGAGAGAACATCCAAGGGCATGTATGCCATTAATCTTCTAAATCTGAGTATATAATCATTTATATCTCCTTTGTAATAACATATTTTTATCTTCTCTTGTATTTCTTCGACCATCATGTCGAAATTATATTGTTTTAAGAATTCGGTTTTGAAATTGTGGTAATCCGATATGGTACCGCCTTGCGATTTCCGAGCTTCATGCCAGAACATGTGAGATTCTTCATCTAGATATGAGCCGATCATTTCGCCCCAGACCGCTTCTGGATATCCATGCATACAAAAATTGGATTCGAGTTCCAAAAACCATAGTTCTGCATTATCGCCGTAACCCGTAAATTTTCTGGGTTCGGCGCGAAAGGCGTCGGGTTTTTGATAATGCTCGGTGGAGAGGTTGTGTTGTTGGGCTTCAAATTGGCGGATGACTTCCGCTTGTTGTTGGAAGATTTGTTGGTGTTGATTTCTGAGGTCAGAAATTTCGCGCGCGTGATTCTGGTCACGGTTTTGCGCTTCTATGCCGAACTGTTCGAGTTGGGCTTTAATTAGACGGAGGTCCTCTGCGGGGATGTTGACATATCCGTTATGGTCTTCCATTTTGAAAAAAGTGACTGTTCACAGAATCAAAAGAAAAAAAGGAGTAAGTAAAAAACGAGGGAAGACCTGATCAGGGTCTTATAAGACGGGTTGAGCGTACAGTATCTAACTTCTTCAAAAAGAGCTAGTTGTGTTAACGGTGATTTAAAAATCAAATGGGTTTTTTTATAAGCGCGATGAGAATAGGTTTGTTAAAAATCGGTTGTTGGTTCTGTGTGCGTAAAAGGTAAGGGAATTCTTTTAGTTACTTCAACTAATTGAGGGAAAGGTGTCGAAGGAGATCGGGATGACTAGCTAGGAAATAACGATGACTTACAACGGGGTTAATCTGTTTTTTTGTGGGGATGTTTGTATCTTTTGGTTATAGGGTATTTCGATGAGGGTTTCTAGAAAACGGTATAACAGAGGTACAGAGTTAGGATTGTGGGTTACAGATTAACGGGAAACCTTTTCGATATCTGGTTGGTAGAGATATTAAAGTTTGAAGCAAAAAGAATTTAGAAAAACACACAAATATATATTTGTGATTCTACTCACAATGTTAGGGTGCGAATTATGAGCAGGAAGTAACTTGAGGCTTTGATTACTTGGGAGATGCGAAGTCTTTATATAGACGAGCATCTTTGGGCGGAGCACAAATAAGGAAATAAGGAAATACAATAAGAATGGCGAGAACGCCGAGATACAAGATGTTTAGGTAGTGACGCGCCGGATCCGGTACTGCAGGATCCGGTATTACAATTAGTGGTAATACGAGTTAGAACAATGTAGGGTTAGATCGAGACGGATCCGGTACGGTCCGTTTCGATTACAACAAGGAGGAATACGAAATATGAGAGAAAGGAAATAAATGGAAAGCGCTTAAAAGCGATGAAAAGATATTGGGCATATTGAAAAGCGCGTAAAGCGCGTAAAGAGAGAACAAAGGGTTATGCTCGAAATAGGGAATCACAGTGCAGAGGACTATTCTCAGCTCATGAGGATGCTTTTCCATTTTTGCGGTGCATGAACTTGAGAATTCAGAAATGATTCAAAGGTCTGATTCAATGATGTATTCATTACGCCAGATGCTTATGGATCTAAAAGAGGACCAAATCCTCAGCTTCTTTCACCAAAGCTGAGGATCATTGATCATTACATTCTTATCTTTTGAAAGGGGAAACTTTCAATGGATCATTCACTACAGGCTTTCAAGCTTAATGTTTGGTTCTCAATTATTCCCCCTGTATATTTAGGTCAGTTTAAGGTCTGTGTGCCTTACAGCAAAGAAAAAAGTGCTCAACTAATTTTGCATCTTTTGATAGGCTAGCTCCATTATGCACTCTGCATACCTGAGAGTATGAAGATGGGTTCTAACATTTCACACTGTTTTGGTAGGTTCTGCTCTTCACCAGCATTCTTAGCATTTGCAGGGTCAATGCCCCATGGCTGATAATTGAGGAGCTCTGTTATGAACCTCTTCATCAGCAGGCTTCACATGTGATATTTGAAGCTGCTATAATGAAACAAGACTATGGCAGGTACCACCCAGAAGGGAATTTGACTCCAGAGAGGCACATTGATTCATAAAGTTGAGTCTGTAGAAATCAGTTTCCAAATTGACAATGCTCCTACTCTCATCACCACATGAAGCCATGTTCTCTGATGTTGTTTTATATTGAGGCCAATCTTGGGCTATTATCTTAATTTACTCTTCAAGATGCATCCATATCGCAAGAAGCCCAGTGTACAGGATGTCATCCTGGTAATGCAAATTTGATTTTTTTATGTCTCAAGATGATAATGTTAATTGCAAAGCTAATATGTGTATAACTTACCTTGTGGCATGGCATGGCTACAAGAACCTACTGAAGTAACTTTCACTGTGAATCCGTCGCCGAGTGTTCCGGACCGACATCGGTGCTCGCATGAGGACCCGGTCTCCCTGGAAGAAAGGGCGGTGTCGGGGCCAGGATTCAGGTCTAACACACCATACAAGGATTTTTGCTTTTTGAATGCCAATACATATTTTTGCTTTCTTTTCTCCACTCTGCTCTCAAAAAGGATTCAACTTCAGCTCAAGCTCGGCGGGTCCACCTCAATTTTCTCCAGTCTGAGATCTCATCTTGAAGCAACTTACCTTCTGTCTACAGTATGGAGGTGGACCCGAAAGTATCATCCGTCGAGGAAGTCGATCCGGAAAAAGTTACCATTGTACGTTTTATTCATGCATCATGATCAATCCCCGCAAGACCTCGGAAGCTGATACTTTTTAATCAACTTTTTATACCTTTTTGCTTGGATGTAGCTAGCAGGTGCGACACATTGCGCCGCGACGTTCTGTCTCAAAGACGAGGACCACACTCTTGGAAATTCTCTACGGTACATAATCATGAAAAAGTCGGTCTAACCATACCACAATTCTCTAGATCCAAGCTCGTAAACTTGATCTGACAAAAAGTTATTCACCTCATCCAATTGAATCTACACAGCCCAGATGTCGAATTCTGTGGATATTCGCTCCCCCACCCGTCTGAACCTAAGCTGAATCTGCGAATCCAGATGTATGATAATAAGTCGGCCGTTCAAGCCTTGATGAAGGGGTTAGCCGACCTTGAAGATTTGACCATGACTGTCATGACGCGCTACAAAGAAGAGCTTGCGAAAGGAACCTACGTGTCCTACGAAGAGCCGACTGTCGCAGAACGACTGGAAGAAATCAAGAGGAAAAAATACCCACACCTTCTCAGCGGATCGCCGATGGAGGAATGAAGCTATCGTACTTGAAATGATCAAATCAACCAACATTGCATCACAAGATTTCTGAAAATATATCCAGCTAAGACCATCATTCAATTCAGCGTTCTACGACTTCTTCAACGTACTCCATTCTCCGCCATGTACACGTTGTGGAAAGTACATTATTGTAAAAATGTAGTTTAGTCCCTCTCCCAGGGTTGAGTGGGTCTTCCCATCGTCGGCTTCTAAACGGACCGCGACGCGTTACCAGATGTGGCTAGTTCTTTCAATCAAGCGAGCCGTACCATCCAAGCTCAACGAAACAGCCATACGCATGATCTGACCGCTTTCATCGGCACAGCAATGCAGCCAGTGTCGTGTGGAAAATTTTTGTCTACAGTTGAAACACTTTTTTTCAGCATACTACAAATTCTGCGAAACTAGGTGGAAATGACAATGTATGATCTTTAATCACCTCACTCACTTGACAGGTATCATATCTTATTTGATGTTTGACATGAAATGTTGGCATGAGCAAGCTATCCCAAACATTTTCCACGTTTGGCTGGAGAAGATTTTCTCGAACTCCCATATACTTTATATGCGCAATGATTAAGTAGCAACAATCAATGTTCTACCATCTCAATTATATCAACTCGAGATCCTTAGATTCCCAGCTGACTTTTCAGTACTTTGCCAAGATCAAAATTTGGCATAAGTGTCGCCTATCAAACCAAGTCAAAAGCATCGTTGAATTTGCAGGAGACGCATCGGGGCTGACGAAGAGCCCACCAACCCAATGTACAAGCTCAGAGTTCTGCAATGATGGGTGAAAGCTTCCGCACTGCTTTGTATGTATGGACTTTGACACTGGTGAGGAGGAAGAACAGATGGCAAGTCACAAGACACGAGTGTCCATAGCTGAACACGCGAGTAGGCTTGACAAATTGTAGGAACACATCTTCTGAAAACAGGCAACTATATATGTCTGGGGTGATTTCACCTCATTTGACAGAGGTTATAGTTAGCCAAAACTACAGATATCGACAACTTGAACGCTCCATCATCTCAGCATTTCCTACAATTTAAACACATCTGTTTCACAAAATGAATATAACAAGTGTCTGACCTTCCAAACCTCAGATACCATGTAGCCTGGTTTGTCATTGTACGAGTGATAAGCTTGTATAGATTATCCGATGATCTTCCTCAGATCAGCCAAAATAGTAGGATACCATGTCACTGGACATCTTCCGAAATCAGACACATACGAATGTGCACACTTATAACAACAGACCCAGCCTGAAGGAAAGGCAGTCGAATTGACGAGGACTGACCGACAAATCGGACAGTGCCCTTTGCGCACCGGTATAAGCTTGCCTTCTTTGCTTAATACGCCTTCTGGATGAGGTCTAAGTGATACTGGAGGCTTGATGTACAAATCTTGAGCCTCATCAGACATTCCAAAAGTTCGAGTGCGACGGATGTTAGAAGGCGAGTACCACCATTCAAGAAACTTGAACGCAAAGATCGAGCATGGTAGGGCCACTTTGAGTGATTCGAGAGTGACATTTGTGCCCCGCTGGATTATTCTCAAGAGTAGTCTCAGTAATGAGGGTCGGGCACCAGTTCGTTGATTTCGACGAAATGGAGACTTCGCCATCGAAGCAATCTTCTGCCCCATACGTTGCTAGAATAAAAGTTGGTTCGACATTGATTACATTTGACATGCCTGTTCACCAATCTGGCAGGACTCACATAATCTTGGCCACTGAGACGACGAATTTCGAGTTTCATCCATGCTTCGAAAGGTCTCCAATAAGGACTCCGTTCAAGAAGGTATTGAAGACTATAGACTAAATTGATAGCCTCATACGCAGCGTTTGTATATGGGTATAAGAGCTTGTATATATCTGATATCCTATGATAAAACAGTTGTCGCTGATTGGCCTGTCACTTCTCATCAATGCTTGCTAAAACCAACGAGCAGGTTTCGTTCAACTCACATTTGGATCAATCTGCTGTACTCTGAGCCCCATCCCGGAGTCGTCTTCTAAAAGCGTAGAGTCTGTGCTTCCCCCCAGCCTTTCGTACAAATCTCGAGCTTTTTTACGCAAATATGGGATGCCCACCTGAGACAGGATCAAGGTCAGTACTGATGAGAGGTTTTAGACTGATAATTGAAATCTCACTTACTAAACAGAAAAGGGAATATCTGATATGTTTGGTTCTCAGGTCACCGTGGTCATTCGTTTGATTCAGTAAGATCCTTGGCTCGATGGGATTACTATCCAGTCGGCGTCGGCGCTTCAATCCATAGAAATGCTCCGCAAAAGAGCCGCCTGGAGGTTATACGTTATAGTCGGTAGTTACAATGGCAGATTCCGCTTGTCAGGTGCCTGCAATAGGTTACGAGGCATAAGAAGACAAATTTTCCAGCTGACCCCAATTCTTCAAATAGTACCTTTCGATGAAAAGCATCAATAAAGCAAAACACTCGTCATGTCGGTTGACAATCCTCAGCAAGTACCTCGGATGACTTTGGGCAAAGACCGAGAGCACATAACGAGTCACTGGGCTGAGGAGATCGCGAAGTTGATCTGGTCATAATAAGTCGTGAAAGGTCAAGCAAAATAAGCAAAGTGGTGCTGGCGTGATGTCTTCTGACATCCAGTAACCCCACATCATCATTTGACAACCCCCGGGATGAACCGATTCAAAAAACCAAACTTTGGACCAACCTTGAGCGATTAGTTCGAAGAAGTTGGGCCGGTAGGGATCATCTTCCAAGGTGAGAATATTCATACTTGATTACTATTTTGAATTTTGCTGATTACTTGAATACCTGAATCATCGTCACATTCGCAAAGGTCAGACCAGCAGCAAACAATCACCCCAGTCGAAGGAATTTATAGCTACCCGAGTCTTACCCGAGAGAGCTCGGATCAGACCCCGGGATCTTATTTTCTCGGGTTGGAAATTGCACTTGAAACAAAGGTGTCACTTCTCGAAGGGAAAGAGCTCAAACAGAAGCATATCAACAAACTGCGCTCCTTTTGCACTTTGCAAACCGTCCTTATGATCGTGTTCATATAATTCTAGTATTTCTGATAGTCTTCGAGCTCTATGGAGATACCATATCCATGCGATCTCCCCTGGGCCCTGGGAGGTATACTTTAGATACCGCTTCGTATCGGATCCAGAGGGTATATATGGCTACTCCTTGAATGGTTTTAATTCTCCTCTACCTCAAGTTTTCTTTTATTGGAGTCAAATGGGATGAGTGCAGGCTGACTAGCAGCAAAGCAAAAGAAGAATGCGCTAATGTTCCACCCGAAACAACTGTCGCCATTCATATGGAGGAAAGACGGGTGTGCATCTGTTTTGACATGGGTGGTATCGACTCTAATCCACTGGTTAGGCAGGTTGATGTGAATGGGTGCGCATCAGGGGCCATAACTTCGCGAGTCCAGATCAGCGCAGCGCGATCATGGCTTCGCGTCAAGGTCTTGTCAAATTCTTCACCATCGAAAACATATACCAATACCGTCGATATTTCCTTGATCAGAACAACGCCGGCTCGAGCCTGACATGGGCTACTTGACCGTCGTGATACGATAGTGTGTGACAGGACTGACTGCAGTCACATGAATAAGGTACACGCCTTAGTCTTGAATACCTCTTTTCCCGGAACAGGGGTAATGCTGTTTATTATAAATAAGTCAATAATAATCCTCTGAGCATTCCTAGGTCAAAAGAACCATGATGCGCAATAGTTACTTGAACACGCAGATAGACTTTCACCTTTTGTTGTTTTCGCTTTGTTCGACTGATGCGCTCCTTCGCTTTCCATGAGCCTGAGTTCATACATTGCCTCCTTCGGTTTGAAGGCGTCTTGGCCGACAAGAATTTCCATTCTGAGTCAGCTTCATTTGTGACAATTAGGTTCTCTACCTCGGCTCCTCATCATTTATCCATTTTCGGTCAGGAACTCTACGAGCTCTACAAGATATATGTATGAGGATCCTTCTGCTACTTGAACTCAAAAAGCAACATTCCTTTCCATCATCATACCACATCTCACACGTCCTCAATAATACTTCACTCGACATCACCTTGTCCCCTTTAACTCAGGCTTTTAAAACCTTTATCGCCCAATTTGCTAGTCCACATTTTCTGTATTCCAACGGCGATGTCGACTCCGCGAAACCTGCCGAAAATTCCTCAGGGACAAGATTCCCAGCCACTGGATCGCGCTTCGTTAATCAAGGCAATCCGACATGAGCGTACCAGACGCAAACAGCTAGAGAAGGCCACTTCAGAACTCTCACTTACTATAGAAGAACGCAAGGTTCAAGTCTTAGAAGTAGACGCTCATATTGCTGAAGTAAAAAAGGGAATCGATCAAGAGCTTGCACAGTGCTCTCGTCTTGAACATCAATACCAAGCCCAAGAGGAACAGATCTCAGCCTTCAAAAATGCAGAAGATGAACAACGAAAACTGACAAATCAACTGCAAAAGGTCAAAGCTAAATTGAAAGATCATGTAATGAGCTTTTTTCTCGAATCCTCTTCCACCACAACAAAAAGCCATTCTAACTAACGCCGTTTGTTTTACGCTTGCTAGGCGAGGATTAGGGATGAAGAGCAACTAAGCTGGGAAGAGTACGAGTCCTACTTGAAAGCTAACGTCAACATGTTCTCCCAGGAATTGCAAGAGGTCATGAAACAAGAAGATCAGGTCAATCCACCAGTCTCCAAAGATTTCATGAAAGATCCGGCTCAGCTTATGAAAGAAATGGCCGAACTTCGTGACTTGGAGGAAGAATATGATGAACAAGCTGTCAACATGAAACAGTCACTTGAACAACTAAATGAAGAGATCAAAAAACTTGAAGAATTACATACTCAATTCTCATCACTAGTTGACCCATCATCCTCATCGAACCATGCGAGTGGGGCAGATACTTCGGGGATTTCGAATTCTCGTACTGGAGAAGGCCAATATGCTCAAAATCCCAACGCCTCCGCATCTGCTCGTTTGAAGCTTGACGAACCAGTCAGTCCTGACACCCTCAATTCAGATTTCGCACCTCCCAGCCCAAGTCTTGGATTCCCAGAATTGGCACCGCAGTCACATTGGGATGTAGAATTAGAAGCTTTGGTTGAACAAAATCAAGCTATCAGAGCGTATATCGATCGACTACTTTCTCGTATTGTCGATCTTGACGAGTTTCAGATAGTTTTACACCGTGATTTTGATTCTCTGGTAGGTGAGGGAGCCTCGGAAGGCCCGAAAAGCTCTACGACGTAACTTGATTATACAGACATATATATATCCATTTCATAATTTTCTGCTTGAGAGGTTCCTTAATAATACCGTCATTCTTGTATATGTCGACTTCCATTGTAGATTTTAGTGTGTCCTACCTCTATTGTATGAAGTTGTTATATCTTTGTCTGTGTTACTAAATAGGCTAGCTGAATGTATATCACAAAGGTCTGTCCCTGCGGAAAGGAATTGCTTGCACCAGGATTGAGTTTCATTCCGTTCCAAATGTGTTTGTACCTTACAATCTTGTTTAGAATTTTATCTTTTCTTTTTCATCAACCATGAAATACTTCAACTTTCAATCTTAGATTTTCCCATCCCCTGCGTCCTATGTGTACAAGCTGAATATCTTGAATGGGTTGTTGTTACCAAAGCAGACATAGGATCAGGCTTACGAAATCATTCTTACAAGCAGACTTACTCTTCGTTCCTCTCTAGGATTTTGTTTGGTAAGTGTTAGAGTGTAATGCGCAAATAGGTTGATCTTCCAACAGCTGAGAAGCGCCGTTGACACACTTTTTCATACGTAGGAATTCGCGTATCATTCTTTGCAGAAACCAAATAAATGTTTCTTGATGAAGCCATGTCAAGCTCCATTCATCTACACCTTGATTGAATTGCAAGATGTTTTGCTCCCTATTGTCTCATAGTCACTCTTCACTCACTCTCATGGCTTCTCAAATCAAATCACGAAGAGCTTGCCTCCTGAAACATGATAGTCTTACAGCCACTTGAATCTTGTTATTACATCACAGACCAAAAAAAATAAAAACTCAACCGCATCATATAATGTTTGCAAACAGACACACGCCCCTATGAATTTTTTTCAAGAATAAAATATACTGAAATATGCAGCAAAAATATTCTGATTCAATTACTCACTTCTGAAGAAGTTTAAAAATCTATCAATCAACTTTACTATCAAATCTAGACCTTTCAAGTACCCAAACTTCTTCATTCCAAACTTCTTTACAATCAGGCCAACCAATATTAGATCTAAAAAATAACCAAATTCGATTCCAAAAAGGTTTAGAATTAAATTGAGTTGAAATTGATTTAATAAATCCAATTGCTTCAATTGCTTCAATTTGAACTTGATCTAATATAGGAATTAAATTAATCATGATTCTTTCTGTTTTTAAATCTTCTTTAAAAGATTTTGTAACCGAAAAATTTAATAATTCTAAATCGATTCCTGCTGGTCTAAATGGTACAGATGTAGCTAAATGTCGAATTCGTATTAGATGAAAATCATCAAATTTAGCTTTCAAGTCTTCTTTGTTTTCCTCTTGATTTTTCAAATTAGATCCATCTTTAAGTTTTATCTCATTAACTAAATCTAAAGATTTTTCAATAGCAACTACACCAATTTGTCTATCATCATAATCAAGTACCCAAATTGAAGATTCTCCAATCCCTTTTCCTTGAAAAGTTTGACCATTATAATAAGATTTAGGATTCTTCATATCTTCTCTAGAAATCACTTCTTTCATAATCGAATTAAAATATCTTCTATGACACCAATTAAGTAAAACTAATAAAATTAATGGAGGTCCAACAAAAACTGGTAATTTCATTAAAATTTCGATTACCATTTCTTTAAATTCATCCTTTCCAAATTCTTCATCAGATAATAACATTCGTTTGATTGGTATATATGTAGTTGAAATGATTACCCATATGTATATTAATGGATTTGACCAAAACAGATGAATATTGGCTGGACCTGTTCTTGATAAAATTGACGCTCCAATTAAATATCTGATAAATTTAAAATCTTTTTCGTGTTCGTATGGTCTGATCGAAGCCGGTGGAATTTCCTCATTCTCTTCAGGCATATGATATATGTGTAGTTCCTGTTTCTTGGAGTTAAACTTGAGTGGCGAAGGTGGTAAACAAAAAAAGTGACGCTGGTCTTTTGTTGGGTTTCAGTCGATCACTCTGCTCGAGCCTCGGGTCTCAACAATTTGAGGTCCGGTAGCACAGTCCGGATCTATCGGATACATGTGCTCTTCGCGGGCTGCCCTGTGTTTTTTGCATTTGGGACACCTGCTGTACTACAAATGTTCTGGAAGAGAACGACAAGGGACGAAATGTTTTTTCCTCTTGCTCCACGCTGGAAGATCAGGTATCATTCCATGTAACCTCTGTAAAATGTAATCAGACTTTTCAGATGGGTCCCAAGAAGAAGTCTCTCAATAAATTATTGAATGATTATAATACCAATCAATGATCAACAACAATCAATTCATCACAATTCTTTTTACAACAACAGCAACAGCACAGGCATACGACATATGTGTACCACACAATCGATCAGTACAAACAAACAAAACATGAAAAGAATATAGAAACATATCCTGTTGAGTTTTCAATAGGATAAAATAGCAAAAAACACTCGAGACTGGTAGGATGAACAAAAGATACATGGAGAGGGTAATTAAGATATTTTGAGTTGGTTATACAGAAGTACACCAGGAATTAAAAGGTAGAATGAAGCGAGATCAATGAAGTTAAAATACCAAGTAACATTCTTCGGTATTGTTTCCATCCTGAAATTGTAAAAAATCCAGCTTGAATCCATGTCATACGGCCGCTTGTGACCATAATGCTGCAGGTATTTACTATCGTAGCAATTGGGCACTTGGGCATCAAGCCTACACCGGAGTCAACGCATACAATAGTGAGTCGTGTATATCCAATCGAAGGGTGAATCGAGAGTCAAAGGTAATGAAGCCAATACTGGTTCGTCGCCATACGTCTCGAACTCGATAAATCGATTCCTTCACCCTTGTCGTTCTTCGTTTAGGATTCATCGCATCTTGAACCATACCTAAACTCACTTCGATCTCGATCGGTCCTAATTGTGGAATGATAGATCAGCTTACTAAGCTCATACGAGTTATAGATACAGTCATCTTTCACTTACCATCCCACCACTGTTGATCACCAGCGTTCACAATCCCTAAGAAAATTCGACCGTCATCTAACTCAGAGACCCAAATTTGCTGTTGCCACTCTACTTGCTGATCGTCCTGCCTAAATTTTCGCACATGTTCTCGCTTTAATGCCTCCTGAGACGTGGCTAGTACATCACCAGAGCAAATCGGACCAAGTCCAATCTCTTCAGTTTCTCCCATCGAGACTCTTACAAGCTTTTGTTTTTGTGACCATACTGCACAGTCAGTTGCTAAGGTACCAAAGGTTTGATCTTCAAAGTAACGAGTCGCATTGAAATGATGTAATCGGGCTGGCTGATCTCCTGTTTGACGTTGTATGTCTAATACTTCCGAGTTCAACAAGAGCGCTTTACGCTCATCTGAAAGGTATCGTAGATCATCTCCCAAGTAGAATGGGGTACCCTGTTGATCAACAGTTTCTCAGACCACAAGTATGGGCTTCAAGCTTAGGATAAAAAGGATCACACGCACCATCAAGGCCCATATCGTTACTACGCTTCGACATTCCGCCAGAGTCATGTCACTTATTAAAACTGCATCCATGTCGATCAATCCTTGCCACCTTCGATGAGCATCGACACATGTCCAACCAGCTGCCTTTCGAGCATTGCGAACAATTCGATCAAACGTAGTCATTTTGCGTCCATAGGCTTCCACATCAATCGCAACTCTCCAGCTGTCAGCAGTCACATCCAAGACAGGGCCAGCTTCCTGTGGAGGGAGTTCCCAGCTGGCAGCCAGCCAAATTCTTTCCCTTCCAACATGCCGCCATTCTTCGTAACCGCGATCAATCGCCCGACGCCAGGCAAGAAGGTCAGGTCGAGTATCACATGCAACTTTTGACGTAGGTCTGAATGAAGAGCCTGGTACATTCCCATCCATTTTCACAAAACTGACGTTCCATCTGTAGAGCTCTTCTACAATACCATCAACATAGAGCTGACTGCCTGGATGACTATAATTCAGAGCATACCCAACGCCGAATGCGTTGGCCAATGGTCGATGACAATGTGGTGTTCGTGAACCGCTGTTTCGTGACTTTGGACAATGTATCACTTCATCCGCCGTATAATCGCTTCCAAGGATCCTAATCTGTAGGTCATGTGAAACAAATGGAGGGTATGCAATTTAGATCGTGTGACTGAGAAGAAGGGAGCAGATGCTCTGTAGTATGATACATAGACAAGATAAGGCAAGACTGGACATACCTGGTTTTCAACGGCCGCACTTTCGATGCCGGGTAGGTAATAAAGTCCTAGTTTGAGGCCCTTTCGAGCTAAATGAGAGCTAAGTCCCGCAACACCACTCGGAAAGCGAAGCCGATCCATTTGCCTTCGGCCATACTCATCTAATTCGGGATCCTATGAGTACTCAAGAGGCTCAGTTTGAAGAGATTGATTCGTGAACTTCCTGATATGAGTGTACTCAACCTGCCATCCAGAGTCCAAATTGATACGATCATATCTAAGAAACAAATGAGCGATCGACATGTCATGTCAATTACAGACACTTAGTGATACACAGATGTACGTCCATTTACCCTAGAGGCGCAAATTTATCTGCCAATATTGCTGCTTGACTTTTGACATGTTGTTCATCTAACCAGTAGAATCCATAACCCTAGAAGGACAAGGATGTGATTAGAACAGTAGAATGTTTTGATCGGCAGAGAAGAGCTTGGTTCAAGACTCACAACACCTTTGAAAGCTTGTAAACTCCAACTTGACCAACCGCGATAGCCACTGTGGAATGTGGTGGGAGTTGAAGGTGGCGAAGTGGAATCGGATGAGAGGACCAACTGATCGATTGCATGAGATTGATGATAGAGATAGACGAATGAGAAGGTAATGAAGTAGAACAGTTTATGGAAGTTGAACATCCTGACTGGTGAGTTATTTTCCAATCAAACTCTGGAGTCAAATCATCCTGAACCTTCAACCAACACTGGATTAACAAAATGATCAATCAAATCAAATTACACATACACACACGTGACCTAACATATCACTGATGGGCATTGGGATTAACCGATCAATGACGCACTTCATACAACCACGGTCCACCTCACTGATTCTTGAAACATCCAAACTATCTTTGAGCGCATACATCAACATTCGGTTTCAAAGCTTTTCTGCAGATCTCGTTATCTATGTACTAAAATGCGTCGACCCACTTCAAGACCGTTGGCCTATCGAGACTCAGGGGAAGCTAATAAGAACCTTGCATCTATCTCGAATGTTCGACCTGCAAGTAAAAGACGAATACGCTCGGGACGCGACGGCCCCTCGGATAACAAGCAAAGATCCACTGAATATCATGTGAACAGCATTACCGAAACGGAATATCATATCACAAATAATAAACGGACTAAAGGCCCCTAGCTCAACCAAGCCGCTGAAGTTTTGCTCAACACCATAGATTGAGAATCTTTGAGAATCACAACCCTCAACTGCATGCGTGTTGACTCTTGAGCCTGAGCTAGTGCCCATAATTGCGGAAGCAACGATCATGATGACAATTGTCTCTGCTACATCCAAACATAGAAAATCCCAAGCACAAATGAGGAAGTCAGGGCTCTCTTCTTGATCTTGTTCAAAAGCAATCGGATGCGTTAGTCACATTTGCCGCAAGTATGCATGGTATCTCCAAATCTTGTGCACCCAGCAATCCAGGTAGGCCATATATATACTTACACAGCCTGTGCTGTGGCCCATGATGTGGATCCTGCATTATCGCATGAAAGCATGCGATTATAGGATCCAAATGAAGCCATAAGATCGTGTCATATCATATATGGCTGGATGGCTCAAATGGCCAAACCACGGGGAATGTCTTATAACAGGTCTGACTCAGTCCCTCTCCAAACCAAAAGCCTGGTGACTCATCATCCCACATCATCTAGGTCCGTGACGAATTCGAAGTAAGCAAAAAGAGATCTTACAAACGCAATAAGAGGTCAGAACACGTCTTACTCAATCCGTCTTCTTCCATGACCAGACTGACCGAAATCAGAACAGACATAGCTCACTCTGTCTCCTGCGATAACAGTAAACCCCATTGAAAACGCGCACTTTATCTTTGACAATCTCGTCTTCAAATCAAATTTTATCCGTCTCGAACAATGGTAGGGAAGGTAAGTTGAGCGCATCTTTAACTACATTAGAATGTACCAATACAACACGCATAGCTGAACAGCGTTCTTTGAATCCCATCAACAAGATGTCCATGTTGGTTGCAAAAGAATCTGAGGCCAAGCATCTCACCCAGCAAGAGTTAAACATCAAGTGGAGTGAGTTGGAGCTCAAGGTGCGCACGGCCCGATCGAAAATGGTCATGGACTTGATACGTTTAGGATGGCATGAAACAAGAGCTCGGCACTTTGCTCTTCAACAATATCCCAGCGTTGTTAGACATTCATCGTCCAAGGACTACCACAAATTCACTTAGGTGAGCATCTTTTGATCGCTGAGACTTTATGTCCATGAAGAAGACGATTGACCACGCCGTGATTCGTGTTATTTTTAGTCAAATAAATATCATTGATATCAATCTGTAACACGCCGACTCACATACAAGAATGCCCTTCATAAATAGCTCAGATTAAGTATACCACAAAAGACAAAACCCCCGAAAAAAATCCATGAAGAAGAAGACGTTTGACCAGACCGTGATTTGTGTTATTCTTAGTCAAACAAATATCATTGATATCAATCTGTAAAACGCCAACTCACATACAAGAATGCCCTTCATAAATAGCTCAGATTGACTAAACCACAAAAGACAAAAAAACCAAAAAAAAATCACCTGATCAGTAATTGTAAATTTTCATGCTTACCACAACCTACAAATCATGCCTCAACATACCTCACTGTTAGGGATTTATCTGTAGTGTATTGAAGCTAATCTTTCAAGTTTTCCCTGTAATATCATCATTTCTGTTCCATAATTTGTTCCTGAGAATCGATAAATCAGGCAAAGGCAGGTGATTTGATGAAATCACGATAAATGTGAGTACGGGAGCTGTAAGGCCAGGAATCACGTTGAAGTGATTAGATAAACTTCTTTACTTCTTATGAGGTAGTGAGTAAGAGAGTAAAAGATATTTAAGTAAAGAAACCACAACAAAACCAATAAACATCTCTTGATATAGTAAAACAGACCCTAGACATAGGTAAACGGACACACATTGTGGTTGTGGCCTTTGAAGATTCATCAAATTAGGGAGTATGCACATTATATCAAACTCCAATCTTTTTCTCACCAATGACGGTGACTCTACATCATATAAGAGGATCAGCTTATCAATCTTTCAAATTATACTTTCATTGAGATAACTTGGAAATCAGCTGTTTACCAAATCCCACTCTTTACTTTTGTAAACCTGTCCACCAAGAAATATCACATGTTTAAATTTGCATCAATGCTTTCAGGAAGCTTGGATTCAAGATTTGGCAATAATGTGGTTTACATTGAGTCCAATTCAATGGATGAATCATGAAAGTTCAATTTTTCATAATAATGAAGGACAAACTCCAATCAATACTAAGATCAAACAACAACAACACTACATTCAATGACCAGTCAATTTTTGTAACCAAATCTTATCATTCGAGTCAAACAGAGGTTATGCTACTAACTAAAACATAATATATAGTAAATCGCTTTTTAAGAAACCATTTCACCCGTCACACCAATCTTACTAGCCACCCAACGACCAAGATCAGCATTTAACCAATTCAATTTACTAGCCAACAAGAGAGGTAAGACTTGATTAAGTGGCCAAACTACAACCGATTGGTTTTGATTGATTGCCAAACGAATCCTTTGTGCCATTTGAAGTGTATCGGCTAACATCATAGGTGGCATTGTAGATCCGGCTGATAACATATCAGCTGTCATACCTGATTCAATAAACCCTGGACAAATACAATTCACATTGATGTTATAGGGAGTCGAAATCGATCGTAGTGATTGACTAAAGGAAAGTAAATTCGCTTTGGATGCTCCGTAGAATGCGAATTGAGGTGGACCGAAAAGTGCAGCTGATGAAGCAATGATACAAATCTAAAACCCCAAGAAATCAAACAAATCGCTCATTTTCAATATCTTTAATTATAGTAGATGTTAGAAAACGTCGTTTACCTTTCCATGCCTTTGGGTCTTCATGATTTCCCAACTGTTCATGATGAAAGCATAAGTCGAAGCGACGTTGACCTGGGTTAATCTCTTGGCCGTCTAAATCATACGCAAGAAAGGAAATGAAAGGAAAGAACATCAATACATTAAACGAATCAAGAGTAGAGAAATCGAATCAAGCTCACTTTAGCGCCCCATCTTTCAGATTCACCTTCTTGATCATCCGTAAAAGTCACCGTACCAGCCACCGAAAAGATCTCATCAATCACCCCATACTTTTCTTTAACTTGATGAATCATACTCTTAATCTTCTCTTCAGCATCATCATGAGCATAATCAATGGAATGAGTTTCAAGTGAAGCACAACCCAATGATTTAGCCACCTTAGCCACATGTTCTAATCTTTCTTGATCTCTACCCAAGATAATCAAAACGGTTTGAGGACAAGCATAAAGTTGAACTAAATGAGCACCTATACCAGAACTACCACCTGAGATGATAACTACTCTAGGAGGAGTTGTATAAGAAGAAGATAAATTATGATCTTGATTAAAGAATTTGATTAATGGATTGATGAAACTTTCATATATAGTCTTAATGAAACCTATTGGAATCCAAACCGATAGAGTAAATAAAAAATCAAGTGAACTAGTGACGACTGTCAAAGCAGAGATAAGTAAGTTTTCTAATGTATAAGAGAGAGAAGGATTAGAACTAAACCGAGCATAAGGAAAGAGAGGAGATTGTAATTTGTTGGCTAAGATAGTAGATTGATTAGGTGGATGTGAAGCTTTTGGTAAGACTGAATATCTCATTTTTGGGATGTTCTTTTGAGAAAAGAAGTTTAAGAAAAGTAAAGAAGAAAAGTAAAGAGAAATGAGTTGAAGCTGAAGTTGATTTTATAAGGTAGTTTTTTATAGTTTTTGATTTCGATCATCCAATTACCATTTTTGTAGGATGACATCATCATTGATCGTCATCTGATTTACCAAAATCACATGGCATTTCACAGAAAATTATTCGTCAATCGATTCACTCACCTCCTTGACTTTCACGCGCACATCTCTTCTCAAAATTACTCAATTGGCTAACTTAACCAAGTCACAGCTGCTTCTTGAGTGAGCCTTACTCAATTGGGTTCATTCCTGCTTGGAGAAAAAGTTACAGATTCAAGTTCTTGTTTTGTTTTCCATAAACAGTATGTACCAGCTTTCCACCTGATTTTTCTTTATCAGAAACAACATGATATTTGCCAAAACAAAAGTGAGTTTTCTTTCACAATTGAAAAAATGCCCAGGCTGCCAATATAAAATAAACACGAAACATGAACACTTTTAAAAATCAGAAGTCTCAAATTAGAAGTGATGTTTTTTTTGTTTTTTTTCGTAAAAGAAGACGTTTTCAAACTTGTATAAATGAAAGTTTACAAAGAAATCTTTAAAAGTTTTAATAAAGAACTTTAGATGAACTGATTGAATAATAAATATATTTAGATAGATCAATACTATAGATATATGCATTACTATACTATAATGAAAAGACTCAGGATACACAACAACAACCTAAGCATTTTAAGACTTTAGATAATAATTTGATACAAACAAACGAAAAAAAAGAAAATCGGATTAAAAGTTTGTTCTATAGAGTCTGAGAGGAGAGGGGAAAAAACACACATAAAATATTTGATAAACATTACAATATTAACTTAATCACAACGAAACCAAAGAAAAAGTATACAGATATCTTGTAAGAGTTTACATGTGTACAATTCTACACACCATACAAAACTAAAGGGTCTTAACTCTTTTACATAAAACATTGCTTCGGTGTAAAATCGAGTGGTGATAAAGTTGGTTCATAATCTTTATAAAAACTGGTGTTTGATGATGACGAGTTGAAGGGAAAAAAGAGTAAAAAGCAAACTTGTGAAAGATAATTATACAATGATAAACTTTGAGCTTAAAAAATTGATGATTGATGATGAACGAAAAGCTAATAAGATTGATTGATGATTGAAAGTGTTCATCAAGTGAGAAAACATAATTCTCTAGAAAGATTAAAATATATCAAATGGCTTTTACCACATCGACCTAGTTTGATAAAGATTTCGACGATTAGCAGCTTCATATGCACGTCTACCATTTTGGAATGCTCTAGTTGTATTCTTAGGTACTTGTTGTCCCATCCACCACATCACCATCAATCTAACGGCCACAATAATTAAAGTTAAAATCACCGAACCCACTAAAACTGTAAGTGGTGGTCTAGGTGGATGTAATTCGGCTGTATTACAATCTGCTGCTGTTTCTTCTTGAGTCGTCCTTCGAGTACCACTACCAACACCACCACTGCCTTCTGTACTACCTTTCTCATCTGATTCTTCACTACTTTCCATGGGAGTTTGTACATTGTAACCTGCAGGTTGAGTTCGAGCTGATGTACGAACTGATGGCGGAAATCGATCGTGTTGTGAAGTCTCAGGTGGAGTTCCGGATGTAGAATTTGATGATTGACTAGGATTATAACGAGATGGATGATAAGCAGATACCTGAGCAAATGAAATGAAGAATCAAAGTGTGATAAGTATCATGATTTTTTTGCAATTGGGAAAAGGTAATGAAACTAGCTGATTGGATTCTAGACTGACCACACCAGTAAGTCGACGTCTAGCATCATCAAATGCACTTAAACCATATCCAGTAAGTAAAACAGCAGCCAATCCAGTAAGTGCAGCCATAGCCAAAGCAGCATATGCAGCCAATGCAAGTAAAGGAGAAAGGAGAGGTCTTTCAGGTGGTGGTGGTGGAGGAGGAAAGTTGAGACCTATAGATGTATGAATACTTTCATGACTGTTCGAATTAGATTGATGATGATTAGGTAAATCAGAATCAGATGAATGAGATGAGATGGTAGTTCTTCTTGTGGTAGTAGTAGTAGTTGAAGTTTGAATCGAATTGAATGAATTTGATTGATGTTGAATTAAAAGGGTTGAAGAGATTGTAGGATTTGAATGAAGCCATGACCTGTTTGGATTGTTTGACATTCTTGAATTGATGAACTTGTTGTTAGGATGATTGATGATAAGATTTTGATTGATGATAAGATTTTGATTGAGAGGAAAGATGAGATGAGTTGTGAAGTTGTGAATCGGATGGAGAAGAGAAGGAGTTTAATAAACCAAATCAAAATTCAAAAAAATTACAATTCATTCAAACTGAATTTATGTAACTGTAACATTCAGTTAAGTAAACCTTATTTACAAATTACAACCATCAAGCATGTGAAATCAGAATCATAGCACTTGCTTACATAATCACTCCATCATCATTCAACCTTCAGGAATTATTAAGCAGACTAAATCAAAATCACTTCTAATCTTTCCTTCTTCTTGGACTCTCATCACAACATCCTCCACTCGAAATCCACTCTCCTCATACAATTTCATCATCAACTAAAAAAGACGTTTATATGACTTTTTTACATTCATTCGCAAAACAAATCAACCACTTCATGTATCTTAAACTTTCAATCATAAAGAAAAGAAAAACATATCAACATTGTCAATCGTTCTTGTTTGATTCTTATTCACATTTACTCTGCAAATTTAAATCACATAAGAATCAAAAAAATAAAAGATATATATATATATGTATAAATCTCTGAAATGAGAGGTTGCTCATAACGACATGTGACAATCAAATGAAACCAGAAAGAAGAACACACAATCACACACATATATATCAAAAAAAGCAAACAAATAACAAACAGATCATTTTCGTGTTCAAAAGTTCAACATCATTATCCAATCATCTCCCCAAACAGATGGTACTCTTCTCTTCTCTTCACCTGGTTTCTTCTCTCCATTCTCTTCATTCCAACAAATCGATGGTAATGTTAGATCTGCTAAACAGATCTCATTGGGTCTATTAGGATGTTCTACGATGCCTTGTGGTATGGCTGCCAAACAGATTAGGTGTTGACTTTTGGGGATCAAATCTTGATTCACTAAAAATTCACCTATACAATATCATTCGATCAGTGAAGCTTCTTGATGTAATGATATCATACGACTTTTGCTAGAGAGGACTGACCAGTGTCGTAATTTACATAACTAGGAGTGTCGATACTTAGGATCGGAGCTCTTTTAATGTATGAAAGCAAATCTTGATTGATGACTCGCTGGTCTGAGACATGTGAGATGGAGTTCTCAGCCAGCGCTTCCACAATCAACATGGGTGAGGATGGTAATTCTGGATCTATAAAAAAGATTACATTTCTTCAATCATGACTTTAATCACCAATAACATCATGAGTAGGTTTACCTTGGAGATCAGTCACCAGAGCGGCATCCGTGGAATCATAAAGCCTTAGTTGAAATTCAAATGATTGGTGGGTCAACGTCGTGACTTGGGCCCGAAAGGCACAGCGCAGGGAAACACTATTCCTGAGCATTAGATCACCGGCGTGTATGATGACAAATCATTGAATAACCTACAGTACGCGGTACCATTAGTCGTGCCGTTGTGAGCTCGATCTCCATAGGCATTGGCAAGAACGAGACAAACGGTGTATCCTTTATTGGCGAGTAAGGTGGCAGCTCTGACAGCAGATGAACCCTTATTTGCATTACAACTGACTACGAAGGAGATCACAGAGCTTTCTATCATTGATCTGTTTTGACCGTGTCGTCTTCGTAAGAGATTGATAATGTATTGGGCGATTGATCGAGCTCCATTTTCGATACGTTGTACTAAATTCGGTCCATATTCCACCGAAGCCAAATTGAAGGCTTGATTAAGACGCTCAAATGTAACAGGATATACAGGTCTTCCTTCTGTAGAAATCAGTCGCGATGGCGTTGATATCTGATTTGCCTGCAACGAGGGACTTGCGACAGCCACTCCATTGACAGCTTGCTCCTGAGCCGATAAAACCATTTCGTTTGGTCCCAAATTACGTGATCGGGGTGTCTCATAGCTAGCTCCATTCTTAGAAATCGGTTTCTTTCTGTTATAGGCCACCAGTCGATCAGCCGGATCGGTAGCGTCCACCAGTGCAATTTCTGCCCATAACTTCAAGAGGCAAACACGGCAATACATATAGCAATCAGCATACATGTCAATGGATGGGAAGAATCAAGTGACTGACTTTGGCTTTATCGAATGCTTGTAAACCGGCTTGAAAGTCAAAATCTTTACTGAAGTCCGACTTTGTTTGCGTTGGGTTTGATTCGTAATCAGCAGAGGCACCAGGTGAAAGGGGTGGAGAGGGTGCTCCATCTGTATCTTCCCTAGCTGAAAAGCTGCTCTCCCCACCTGTACTAACTTCCTGAAATGAGACCGCAAGATGGGACGCTCGTTGTTGATGTGCCTTCACCGGTTTTCGACGCCTACGAGGGACCTTAGTTCGTGAGTTTGCAGCTGGAGAAGTAAGGGTAGCCACACTATCACCAAGATGATCGCTTTCGGGCGTCGAGTTTGTCGAAGGGTGAGGTAGATTGGAGGAATGTCGTTCGGATTGAGCTACGATTTGTGGACCAGAGTGAGCGGAGGAGATCTGTTCTGACTGTATGATGCACAATCAAAGATTCCCGTTGAAGGACGTAAGTAAAAGTGCCTTCACTAGAAAAGAACATTGATAGATAGTAATTATTCTGACGTCATGAGAGACCAGAGTACACGCACAGCATGTCTCGCCAAATGAGGTGTCTGATTAGGATCCTGAGCTCGGGTAGATTGGTTGATCGGATTGTTGGTCAATGGTGAATTACTTGGTCGTACGCTGAGTAAAGTCAAATCTTTCACAGAATCCTTATCGACCACTAGATCATCTTGAGTAGAACTCAAGGTACCATCGAATCTGCAAAGCCGCGCTGAAGTGAATGTAAATTTGAGCTTCACGGTCTAAGATTAAGATGAGATTTGATTGGGTTAAAGGTGATTAAGACTGACCTTGCTTGAGATGAAGTTTACCATTCGCTTGATCGATGTAACTAACCACTCCTTGTACTACATTTCCATTTGAAAGTTCCACACTGATTGGAAGTCCGACGAAGTGAGAAGACATGATCGATTAAAAATTCAAAATCCTAATGTGAATTCAAATGAGAAAGAAAAACTATCTATCAAATTAAAGGTTTAGTCAAAGTGGGTATTTTGATAAGGTAGGTAAAAGGTTTTGCGATTGGAGAACTGGAAATTGAAGAGACTGGAAGAGACGATGAAGTCAAGATTAAACTTTATCTTCACAGCGGCTGTCACTTCATCTTGGTGAACTGTATTTGGATCGGTTTTCAAGTTTCACATCATCACTGACACCAGTTGCATATTGGATTTCATCCTTTCATCCTATCTTCAACAACTCCCATTAACTCAACAAAGTCCCACACTCACCTTGTGAGGCTGAAGCCAGCGAGGGACTTACCTCAAACGACCTTCCTTGCAATCCTTCCCTACCAAAGATTCTTACCAGAGACAAAAGTTGTTTGCCTTCTTCTTGCGCATAGTTTACAGTACTCCTTTCCAGAGAAGTGTTCTTTGCTCTTGCCTCGAATCCCTCCCAAAGTTTGGGGGTCAACACAAATATAGCATGTAACGTAAATTATGTGTCTCTGCTGCGAGGTCTGAGAGCGTTTGCCTTATGTTTTGCTTAAGCATCAAGCTTGTGTACCTTGAATATCCTTGGGGCATCAATGCATTACTAATGTTCTCTAATAGGGATAAATGACTAGACTTTTATGAACACAAACAATTCAATAACCAAAACAATTAGATGACAAAAGGAGACAAACACTCAAATTCTAGCATGGTATGGCAAATCTACAACCATTCCAGCAATGGTTGCTTTCTTCTTTCAAAAATTCTTCAAAACTCATAGTTTTGGTTTCATCAAGTTTTTTCTTTTCACAAGGTGGAGCAACATGGAATGAAGAGGATCCTCTCATGACAATCATGTGTCCTTGTTAAATCATCTATGATCATTGCTTGGCTTTCATGGCAAGCAGTGAGTACATCCCTTTCTCATTGGTTAGTAAGATTTGACAGACACAGCAAGGCTGTGGCTGGCGTGCACACCAGGTGTGTTCATGTTACTTTAGACAAAATTGGTGAAACCAGTTACAGGTGTTATATGTGCTGTGCTGATGAACTTTTTACAATCAACCATTCTTGGAACAGCTGTATATACTAATGAAAAAAACTAACAAGTTGTAGCATAGCAAATTGTAATATGAGGATCCGGAACACCCTGGAACACCTGATTACAATCAAATACTTGAGCACTTTTTTAAGTAATTACAACCAAACCAGGCAATTTTCTGCAATTGGTGAGGAATACTAGATGATCCCCTTTGACTTGAGACAGAATGGGTAACATCAATGAAGCTTGGAAAACAGCCGTCCTACCATGATTCTTGAATCTCAATATTAAATTGATACCCAGGAGGCCTAACAGCATGTTTTCTTGATAACATGTTTAAGATGGAAAGAGTATATACTATCATCTATTTGCTTGTAAGCTGGTCCATCAGGCTTTGAATCAAACCTTGACTCTTACTTATAGCTTACTTGAAATTGTCACTCCCCTTGGAACAGCTTCCATCACTAGCCTTCAACATTTGGAAGACCTTGCGTGGTTACCAACTCCTCTGGGCCAATGGACTTGGATTTGATTTATAAATATAAGGTAGAATGCTACATGTGCCACAAGATAATACATGTTATTAGAGGTTGTCCTAAGAGAACTTCCTCTAAATCAAACTTTAGAAAACCAATCAATCAGAAAGTAGACTGCCAGAAATCAAAGCTACCTATGATAGATTTGATCCCCTCCACTAGCTCAAAAATGGAAACCACACCATTCTCCAGACAGAACAATTGTCAAAGCCTCCCAAGAATCCAATCTCAGTATAAACCTCAATTTCTAAGCTAGGGATAAACTCACCACAATGCAGAAGAACTACCTTAGAAGTCTAGAAGCATTGAACAGAGATCAGTATGATGATTTGAAGAAAGAGCACAAAGCTCTGGCAAAACTCTTGAAGAACCAAAATTAAGATCTCTCCTGCAGATGGTGTAACTCTTGTTTAACATTTGGGAACAAATGTAGTCCCTCTACAATCTCTAAAGGTATCACCTATCTTACTTTAGACATCAAAGACCCCAATCAAATCAACTCCAAGAGGCCTTAATTCTATACTCCACTACTCAAAGAAGCAGATGGACTGGAGATATCAACATGTCAATGCCAGCATGCACTAAACACCACTTAGTGCTAAAAAAACTTACAAGAACATATCAGCATACAAGTCCCTAAAGACATGGAATATCTGGATGAAGAGACAATCTATGGATTGGAGAACAGAGAGATCTTTCAAGGATCAAAACTCTCTCTCTCAATGTTGTTAACATAACTTCTCACAACAACATACCTAAATCTTCCCTACCATTTACACAAGTCACTTCAGGAACTTCCTGCTCAACACCATCCTAGATAACAGAGCTGCAGCAAACTATCTCTCAGCAAACAATTTAAATAGAGTGTTATAACTCAGGTCTAGTAGAACCAAACTTGAAGAGAATAAGGGACAAGGAGTGCGTCTGGCTAATGGTGCTCAAGAAACCTTGACTCAAGTTGAGGCTTTCAAAGCAGAAATTGACAATGAAAATAAAACCAGTTTCTTAAGATTTATCATCAGGGCCTATGTACTTCCACTACCAAACATCAAATTGATCTTAGGGTTGCCTTGGTTCAAACACCACAAACCCATCATGGATTTCAAACCACTTGAGTACCAAATAAAAAAAAAATTGAAACCTTCAATTCAGACTAAAAAACTGAGATTCGAACTTGTATAGTATGGATTCCAACTCCCATAGTATCCAACAAACCTCCCTTTGCACTGTCCTAGAAGAATGTGCAAGATCAGTGGCACCACAGTGCTTCCTGCACAAAAAAGACATGGTAAAACATAAGTGGTACAAACACTATCACTGAGCAAATGTAGTATACTTCCCAAGTGAAAAATGATTGACCTGAAGGACAAACAAAATTGAAAAAGGTGGATTTCTGCATCCATTTTGCATGTGCATTAAAACTACATTTTTCTGCATTGATGCTGCATTTTTCTGCATTAATGGTGCATTTTTATGCATTAACGCAAGATTTTTAATCACTTTTGACATTAATTTCAATCATTTTGCATAGTGGAAAAATACTACATCTGCGCAGTGTGTATTGATACAGGGGACACTGGCACAGTAAAGTCCCATGGGTGACCCACTGACCCCACCTGAACATCAACTTATAGGCCAATCCATAATCAAAGGTGCACTGGAACCAGGAGTTACAAAATGTTGGACTCCACCTGGAGTTTGCTGCTTATCCTAATGAATAAGTCAGATGGGTCAACTAGGTTATGTGTGGACTGTTGTTGAAAATGTCTGAAAGCTTTGTAATACGGTCTGTGATAACAATTCCTGTGACAAATAGGAATCTGATATGCGCTATAAGTTGGATAAGATCACTTGGAGTTATCCTGTTATAAGGAATGAACTCTGACCTACAACAAGAATAAGAAAGTACAAATGTAATATGAAAGATAAGTATCAACTCTTCTGATGTTAACAACAAGATTAAGTACCTATAGTATGAATTGATTTGATTTAGAGCACACGAATCAAAGTGAGCTTTCTATGATCTGAGTGAAAGATAACTATAACATTATGTTGAATTAGTTTAGAACACAATATAAAAAGATTATAAGAATAACAAATATGAAATTGATGATACGTACGTTTCTCTTTCCAAAGATGAGGAAAGAGAAACGTTACACGATTGAGAACTAATTATCTTATAAAGGCTCCAAGTTTCATTGACGTCATTGGGTTAGAAGTATTTTCATTTTGTCATAGCTTTCTCAACATGTAATTTATTGATTGTAACTCCTCGTCTTCTACTCGTAACTTTCTACACTTCTTCTTCACATCTTGAGTCAATTGAACACCAACAGTTGTGTGTTAAATTTCACAGCCCCCAATCACTAGTCACTGGCAGGCCAGAGACTACTGCAACTTCAACAAGATTTGAAAATGATCTCAACATAATATCACTGTGGGGCCTGGGGTCAACTGATGAACTGTTTTTCAGGTTGATGAGACTTTGAGTTGAGCTCAAAGAGACAAATCATATTGGATTGAGCAGTGGTTACCATATTTTCCAATGGGTTTGGAGCAAACTATAAAGTCCAAAGTGATTAAAAGAATGTTCAACTTACTCCTCTTATACTCTCTGGAGACCCCTTCAAAGTGCCTACCCACCTTCTACACAAGGTCTTTGGTGTGTGCATGTCAGCATGCTCCAGGTAGACAGACATGGTGTTGGCTCAGGTTCTCAAGGACATTGGCCAGATGTTCCTCAGTGGCCATATGGATTTGTGTTCAATCAATTCTTCTACATACAGACCAAACTCAAATCAATGGGCTTATGGAAATTCACAGGTTTTTTTGATTGAGCTGGTTAGGTTGTGTGACAGAATCACATCCACTCTTGTCACTCAGCTTCCTGGATTTTCATGGTACTGGCACTCCTCTGACAGTTGATAATGTCACATCATATCACATTCAAGTAGTCATGGCTGGTGGTCAGGCTGGTGGTCAAGAAGTCCCAATTGACACATCATTTTTCTGTTTGAATTTGGTACCCACTCTTTTCATGGTGGCAAATCTTCACTGAATGTTCAACAGATGATCCCAAGTTCTGTCAAGCTTCATTGACTTCTGTCACCTAAGACATCCCCAAACTCACTTCACAGCTTTTGTGTTGATAATACCATGTGTTGGAGAAGAAATTTCAAAGACACGCACTTCCCTGGATTATGCCCAGTGACACTAGCCAAATCCAGATCTAGCAGCAAGAATCTGGCCTAATTGCCATTGCCTGAGGATACCATCAAGTGTAATCATGCCTGCCACTCAGTCTAAACTCCCTCATCTGCATCTCTGTATCAACTTGACTTTCACTAGGATCATACATTGTTAGTCTAATAGTTTGTTTCACTTTGGGGTTGAGCAGCTTTTGTTTTCTTGTGTTTCTTATGTGTGATACTGCATGTATGCAGTCACTGCAAATGATTTGTATATCCTGAATTTATCCTATCTCAAATGTGACAGTGTGGTGATAAGAACTGTCTCATCATATTGTATTTATTATCAATTATCCCATCATCTGTTATGTTCATTGACTGATATAAAGCTCATCTTGAATGTACATGTATTTGAATCAAAGCCCTTATTTTCAATTTGTTTGACTCACAGAGTTGTACCAGAAAGTCTTGTCCTACACAGAAATCAAGATTCAGAATGAATAACAATTGGGAATGGGTTTGTTCATAGAAGGTTCAGGCTGCAATCAAATAAAGGTTCACATATATCAAACTGTCACCATAATATGCTCCACTACTTAGGAATTTGTTCACACAGCTCTAAATCACCACATGGTCTTCTACATCACTCTGATTTCATCCTAGCTTACCACTAGCTCCAGCAACCACTGAGATGTCCCCAGAGCCTGCAGAGGGGGGGCTGGCAACTTAAACATACTCCAAAGCCTGATAGGATTTTTGCTTTGGTGGTGACCATCTCTATACATTGATCTCACCACTTCACACAGTCTGGAACTTCAAGGTGCTCTTGTGAAATATGACAGGCAAATTTTTCCAGTTCTTTTTCCCTCTTCAGATTGTTCTGAGCTGCTCCAGAACCCAAGAATCAAGCGGATTAATTATTTGATAAATCAAGATACTTGCATACAAATCTGCTGCAACTACTTATACATACATATTCATGTGGGTCAAATCAGTTCTTGAGAGCCAGTTGTCACTGCAGTTGTGTGATCAAGATATCCCAAAGTTGCGTTGATTTAATCTCATTTCATTGCTACAACTTCTTATCAATGATGCAGAGTTTTGCAGAAAGAATATGCACAAGATACAGAAGAAAATAGCTTTCTGACAATTCCCAAACCGGTGTGTGGCAGAGTGTTTGAGGCAGATGGAATCCAAAACAGTCAAGAAACCAAAATTTTGTGTTCTTATCACGCGTGAATTGTGTTTAAGTTGTAATTCCCCTCCCACAGGCTTTAGAGAATGTCTGCACTTTGAGGAGGGACTTGGTTAAGTTAGGTTTTCATCCAGTCACAATATCTGGCATCCCATATCTATCTCAACAAGCCGCTTTTGTGAATTCTAGACTTGACCCTAGGCATAAAAACACACAATTCCTGGGCAAAGGGTTGGGCACGTCTCTGGAGTGCAGACAAACACAACAGGGGAGAGCTGACTCCATATATGAGAGTTTGGACCTACTACATATATAAAGGTCTTGTTTGGAGCGATGCACAGCAGTGTCATGTGCGTTCAAAAAGGAGCTTTGCATGGAGGCCGGCCCCGGGGGACAGCCCTGTGTAAAGCTGGACAGTTTTAGGGTTGGAAAACTGCAAAAACCTATCACGCTCTGTCACGTTATATGATTAAATACTGTTGACTGTATTTTAGAAAAAAACATTCGCAAAAAATCCATAAATCCGACTGGAATTACAAAACGAGTTACAAACTACATTTCTTCAATCTGAATTATTTCGACTCAGCATACTCTCGCCACTTGATCGATTTCCTCAGTTATCCAGCCATTTTGTGTCTCAATTAAAAAATCAACAAAAGTTATTGAACATACTCTAGATGTCTTCAATCCTTCCAGTCCTCTCTGGTCCTCCCCAAAATGATCCCAAGTTTATCGGGACTCCAAATAACTCTCCCTCCTTAACTTCGGCTTCTTGGTCTGAGCCAAGGAGTCGAACTTTAATCGAATTACTTCAAACTCAAGTTCATTTGGGTAAGCGCTCCGAATCTGGTTTTAGAAGGGAAGCTTGGGCGGAAGTGACGAGCGAATTCATCAAAAAGTATCACGGTCAATGGACTCGTGAACAACTCAAGAATCATTTTCAAATTGTAAATCAACATGATCTCATAATGCATTACCGATAACTACAGTATTGATGTTGACTTTATTTTTCGACTCTTTCAGTTAAAATCCCAATATAACACAGTACGCGAACTGCGTTCTCATCCTGGTTTCCAATGGGACGATTCAACTCATACGGTCACTGGCTCTGCTGCTGTCTGGGATGAATATCTTAAAGTGAATTTCTTATCTTCACTTTCATTGTATTCATCATTCACATCTCGCTTACTTTACTATCTTGCCAGGCACGTCCCAAGGCAAAACTGTTCCGCGACCGAGGATTCCCACTTTACGATGTCCTCGACAAATTGGTTGGCGAACCCTCAGGATCCGGGCGCAAACGCAATGCCTCCCAAGCATTTGGATCACCATTGCTAGTTCAACCAGATGTTATGGTCAATCCGCAGCTACCGAGCTCTACCCCCTACAACCCTCACATCATGCAACATGCCGAACTCAATGGTCAGTTATTGTCAACCCTCTCCTAGTTTCCGTCGCTGACATACATCGAATCCAGGGTCCTTACCCGTTTCTCACGACTTATCATACGAGAAAGATACCAGTCGACCTCCTGGTGGATCCGACACTGGCTCGACTGATCTGATCCACGTTCAGGACCCGAAACGAATGTGCTCTAGCCAGTCCTTTATCCTTACTGAATCACTACAGCAAGCATGTAAGTTGGAAGAAGACCGAATCAAGCAAGAGGCACACGACGCCTTGGAACGCAGACTAGAAGCTATGATCAGACGCGAAAGATTTCCTAATATGAAGGAAGCACTCCTGATATTTGGAGAAGCGTCTAAGGAACAATTCGAAAACACATCACAACGTATGGCTGCAGCATGTGTACTACGCTCCGAAGAAAATGCTGCTTTCTTCTGCGCTTTACCAGACGACTTGAGATGGGATTGGTTAAAAAGTGAAGTGTCTGCCGCTGAGAACCACAATCTGCACCCGATGATTGAAGTTCCGAAATGAGATGTGATGGCGTTCTTTTCGTTCAATGGGTTTTTTTACGAGCAATGATGCAAAAGTTATCGTCAAATTCATTTCATTTTCATCATGTATTTCTTTTGTCTGAGGTAGCTGGCTTTTCTCTACACTTATACCAGCAATTGTACACCGATAATGATTCACACCGGAAAGGGGTTTTTCAAAAGTATCGAAACTGTGAAGTTGTCTGCTTTTACCTTTTACGAACGGAATCTGGCGTTGCCATTGGGCTGGTATACCACGAGTCATCTTGAGATACTGTATTGGGTTTCGCTATATCCAAAAACAATGTATTCTGCAAGTCTAAAGATCGATTCCATCTGAGTCACTCATCATCGCGACCCACGTGGATAGCGAGACTCTGGCCACGGGGGCGATTGTTGGGCTAGACTGCATCACATTTTGTGTATGCAAAAGAGTGGTGCTCTCTGAGTGGTGCAACGTGAAATTGTAAGGCTGGAAAGGATTATCAATGTAGTACCAATCTTCAAAGGATTTTTTTTACCAAAATAGGGCTCGGGAAACTATGGCTCAGACATGGAGCTACAATTTCCAAGTCAGAGTCTTCTCACAATCAAGCTCATACCGGAGCTTACTTCACAGGGTTGTCTGATGGCCTTATCAATCTTCACCAACCAAAGTGATCAACAAAACAATTTGGGTAAAATTCTTAGAGCAGCAGGAAAAATGAGGTAGCGATGAATGACAAAATGCTACAACTTGTCAGGATTCAATTCATCCATTCCATAATACATAGTTTGTGCATTACATTGGCCAAAACCTTACACCTTGTTCCTTTCGTCTCTGCTTCTGCATATTCTCATTTGTGATCAAATCAGATATTCCAGAATAACCCCCCCCGCACTCACATTGCAGCTACACAATGATGGCTCAGGAAAAGCATTTGAGCGCTCATATTTCTGCCAGCCGATTTTTCAATTTGATACCATTATTCTCGTAAATGCTCATCATTGAAGGTAGATTTAGGGAGTCATGATGGTCAACAAATCGTTGTTCAGGGATGAGAGTCAAGTATGATGAGATCACCAGCCGGACATCAATTTGGCTGCTTGATCCGATCCGACCCGGCTGAGCACCCTAAGAAAACAATGGTTGATTATCAAACTTAACAAAGTCCCTCGCCAAAGGCCCGAGCTCCAGCGAGGGACTTACCGCATAAAACAGAATCCTGGCGTGAGAAGTAGCCTGTATTGGCACAAAAAACGCTACTTTGAATTCTTCGATTTGTTCCTAAATAAACAGGTCTCGGAGGTAAATAAAAGGATGATGGCAAAGATTCATTACATATGAGCCAATTGCAAGCTCCCCCAAATCTGGTCTGGAACTTGGGCTACTGGGGAATCAAAAATGGGTCTGTTTTCATTTTTCAGCAGCGGCGAGCCGGCTCAAAGCCTGTATTTCTCAGAAAGCGGTCAAAACAATTGATCTTCAACTACTCAAAAAGATAACTTCCCAGCAAGATAGAAAGGCGGTTGCAATTGGTAAATATGTAATGGTCCCTGGCCATTTTCTTCTTTCTTTGTTGCAAGACATGTTTATTGAGAGATAAAAAAAACAAACAGATGTAGAGAATTTGGAGCAAATATAGCTCACTTCTCACGCCAGGATTTCAGTTTATGCGGTAAGTCCCTCGCTGGGGCTCGGGCCTTTGGCGAGGGACTTTGTTAAGTTTGGTTGATTATTAGCAATTTTTAAGAGACTTCAGAGTGAAACGAAATAGGGACGATTTTAAATAAAAGAGTTTAAGAAGAAAATTAAAAGAAATTTCAAAATTAAAGTATTCAAATCCACTGAAGCAGATTTTGATAAGACTTTTGTTCACATTAATAATAAATCTGTATACATAGCTCCGTACGGACCGCTCGGCTTGAAAGTTCTTCATCTCCGTCCTAAATTCTAAAACTACGAATCCAGATCGATTGGTCAACGGTCGAGTGTTGATTGAATCCAATGGCATCTAACCAACAGAATGGATCGAATTTTAATCCGAATCCGAATCCGAATCCGAATCCGAATCCGAATCAGATGAATATGAATATGAATATGAGGGAAAGGGTGATAGCATTACAACATGTAAGTTAATCTTTTCTTCAAATCAAAACCAATCTCAATTCTTCAATAGTTTGAGTATTTATAGAAAAGTTTAAAGCATTTCTCGAGTGCATCTTAAGTACCAGTATGGGTGTGGTTGTATGAGTGACCATGAGAATAAACCTTCTCTGTGCTTCTTAACTCTTCGAGTTCCATTAGTTTTCTTTATCTGTTCTTCTCGCTCAGTTTTCTAAATCCAAGATAGTCAATCTACCATCTCGATCCTATCGCTTGAAACTTCTCTTTTGTACACAAATCAAACTCAATTTAATCTCTTTCTCTCCTACAACTGTAACACTCACTCGAACACTAGCGACGTACCACTTTGATCAGTCAGGGTGCTACAGTACAATCCTCAACTGAACTTGCTCAAATCGAAGGTTGGTTTCAAGAGCTTCAGAAGCAAGCAGTCTTCGCCACCCAACAATCATCAAGACAAACTCAATCACCACAACTTATCTCAAATCTATCACTCTCTGGACCTCCAACTCAAGCTTCACTTCCTCCTAACTCTACAGCCATGGCCAATCCTCAATCAAACCCAACGGCTCCTCTTGCGTCAACTCTTCCCACTGACACTGCTACCAACATTCAATCCTCGATTGCATCACCTCCCCCTTCTGGATTCCCGCTCGATCCTGCTCAGGCTCAACAACTACGAGCGCAGATCATCGCGACTAAAACATTGGCCAGAAATTTACCCCTCGATGACTCTCTAAAGCAAGCCATCGGTCCATCTGATCCATCAAGCGAACGGAATCAGTCCGAGGACTCCGCGCGCTCACTCAATGAAGAGACTGATATGGATTATGTCAATTCTTCAACTTATCCCTACAACGCGTACCTTCATCCAGCAGCTGTTTTACCGAACGGAGCTCCTTACGCGCTGGACTCTTGGCAAGGATCGAGTCAACAAAATCCAAAGGGTTGGATGGTCCCTAGTCTTTTACCACCTGGACTCGATCTTTACACTTTGAAAGCTGAACGAGAAAAGTTTATTGAGGGGCGAATCCGATGGGAACTTGGAGAGCTAGAATCTATGAACGCCCGCATACCCGATACGCCCGTTCAACTTGAAGGTTCTTCCACAGCCACTTCTCAAAAGCTCAAAAGTCTGATTGCTATCAAATCACTCAGACTCCTACACCGTCAGCGCGCCCTACGCGAAGAAATCGTTACTGGATACAATCAAGCCACCAAACTTAGCTTAGTGACAGATCGCACAGCGACCAAACGCCCCAAAAAGCTTACCCTGCGTGATTCTCGCGTCACTGAACAGTGCGAACGACGTCAAAAGACCGAACGCGAACAACGCGCCAAACAAAAGCATCTTGATTATATCAAAGCTGTTGAGAATCATGCTCATCGTCTCAAATCTGCTCATGCAGAGAGTCAAGAAGTTTTCAGGAAACTTGGGAAGTCCGTCTTGAAATTTCATGTTGAGGCTGAGAAAGAAGAACAACGAAGGATCGAAAGACTCAGTAAAGAACGTCTTAAAGCCCTTAAGGCAGATGATGAAGAAGCCTATCTCAAACTCATTGATACCGCCAAAGATACTCGAATCACCCATCTCTTACGTCAAACTGATCAATACTTGGATTCACTCAGTCAAGCTGTACTTCAACAACAAAACGACGCGGTTCATCGAGACGGTCAAATCGTTGTCAGTGGTGTACAATCAGCGGCAGCAACGATCGATGAAAGTGCTTTCGGTGCTGCACCAGTCTTTGATGACGACAAAGCGAACGCAGCCACTGGTGCGGCATCCGGAGACGCTGGTAAAGCTGATTATTACAATGTTGCACATCGAATCAAAGAAGAAGTGACGAAGCAAAGTTCACTTCTGACGGGTGGTACCCTCAAGGATTACCAAGTCAAAGGACTACAATGGATGGTATCTCTTTACAATAACCGACTGAATGGTATCCTGGCTGATGAAATGGCTAGTGACTTCCTCACTCGTAACAGCTTCCTGATCCCATTGTTAACCTGATCGATTGTTTTGTCTGCATGCAGGGTCTAGGAAAAACCATTCAAACCATATCACTCATCACTTGGCTCATTGAGCACAAGAAGCAACCAGGTCCATATCTCGTGATTGTTCCCCTTTCCACGATGCCTAATTGGACACTTGAATTCGAAAAATGGGCACCAAGGATCAAAGTGGTTCTCTACAAAGGCTCCCCCAACGTCCGTAAACAGATTCAAACTCAGCAGCTTCGCAGTGGTCAGTTTCAAGTACTGTTGACGACCTATGAATATATCATCAAAGATCGACCGGTCTTATCTAAGATCAAGTGGATCCATATGATCATTGACGAGTCAGTTACTCTCTAAATAAGCAGCTATCAAGTGGCAAGACCGAACTCATTACTGATAATACTGATCAAATTTGTGTATAGGGGACATCGTATGAAGAATACGCAATCCAAACTTTCTCTTACCTTGACCACTCATTACTCCTCTCGTTACCGACTCATCTTGACTGGTACCCCGTTACAAAACAACTTACCCGAATTATGGGCTCTTTTAAATTTTGTCTTGCCGAAAGTCTTCAATTCAGTAAAATCGTTTGATGAATGGTTCAATACCCCATTTGCTAACACGGGTGGTCAAGATAAGATTGAATTGAACGAAGAAGAAGCGATCCTCGTCATTCGTCGTCTTCATAAAGTGCTTCGGCCCTTTTTACTTCGACGATTGAAGAAAGATGTCGAGTCTGAGTTACCGGACAAAGTGGAGAGAGTGATCAAATGCAAGATGTCAGGCCTACAACTCAAATTGACCAACATGTTAAAGATTCACAAGGTGATCTGGACGGATGTTGATAGTTATGCTAACAACCTGAAGGGGAATAATGGGACTGGTGGGATCATGAAAGGTTTACAGAATGTGATTATGCAATTCAAGAAGATCTGTAATCATCCGTTTACGTTTGAAGAAGTTGAACGTACCATCAATGGACCTGATAAACCTACCAATGATACCCTTTGGCGAGCAGCTGGAAAATTTGAGCTCTTGGATCGAGTCTTGCCTAAACTATTTGCGACTGGACATCGAGTATGCAGAAATCTCTTTATTCAGATTCGATAAATCAAGGCAATGATGTCAGACTGAAGCTGATGATTTGCTGTTCTTATTTTTGTCAAGGTTCTGATGTTCTTCCAAATGACTCAGGTGATGGATATCTTCCAAGATTACTGTGCCTATCGTGGAATCAAGAATCTTCGATTAGACGGTATGACGAAACCAGAGGAGCGAGCAGATCTACTCAAGACGTTCAATCATCCACAATGTGATATACATCTTTTCATCCTCTCCACTAGAGCTGGTGGATTGGGATTGAATCTTCAAACAGCAGACACAGTTATCATATTTGATTCAGATTGGAATCCACATCAAGATCTTCAAGCACAAGATCGAGCACATCGGATCGGGCAAAAGAAAGAAGTAAGGGTCTTGAGATTGATCACGAGTAAAAGTGTAGAGGAACATATCATGAGTAAAGCTCAATTCAAGTTAGATATGGATAAGAAAGTTATTCAGGCTGGTAGGTTTGATCACAAGAGTTCAGCGGAAGAAAGAGAGATGTTCTTGAGAGAATTACTAGAGGATGATGATAATGAAGAAGAGGGTGATAATGAATTAGGTTAGTCGGTTTCTTTTTAACGTCGCGCATTCCCTCGGGGAAACGACTCGTTCTTCTGCGTAGGTGCCAGTGTACTGATGAATTTGTATCATCTGATCGTTGCGCATACACCAGGCGATGAAGAATTGAATGAAATCTTGAAGAGGTCAGATGAAGAGTTTGAGATCTTTACCAAGATGGACAAAGATCGCACGTTGAACGCTATAGAAGCTTGGAAGCAAACTCCACGTGGTCAGGCCGGTGAACCTGTTCCCGAAAGATTGATGACGGTAGAAGAACTCCCGCATGTGTACTCGAAAGAGATTGCCCCACCGGTGGTCGTGGATCCGAATGCAGTAGAGGAGGAAGAAGGGGAACCAGGAGTGAGGAAGCCTCGAAATAGGAATGCGGTGCATTATGATGATGGTAGGCTAGATTGTAGTATCCATCTACTGAATCGTTGATCGATACTAACTGGTGTTTTAATGATGCTCAGGTTTGACGGAAGAGCAGTTCCTGGAAGCTTTAGAAAACGAAGAAGATTTGACAGAAGTAATTGCTAAGAAACGAGGTCGAAAAGCAGTTCGATCGGCTAATAGGATGAAGAAGATGGCGTCGGAACACGATGGTGGTGAGATGGATGACGATGAAGAGGAAGAGGAAGACGACGAGGATGATGATTTTGTAGGAGAAGGTGGTCGAGGAAGGAGATTGAGTAGAACAAACTCTGGTACTGTCAATTCTCCAGAACCTAACAAGAAACGAAAACGTTTGTTTGCGGGTATGTTTGATGGATCAATGGACGGTGAAGAAGAACGCGGCAAAGGAAAGGTGAGAAATTTTTTCTCGCTCGTTTCTTATTTTGGGGTGACCAAGGTTTGTCTCATTTGTGAATGCTTTTATAGAGTACCAACAAGAAGCGAAAGAATGCACACGAGGACGAAGATGATGGGGTATTGAATGCGTATCGAAAAGTGATGAGAGAGTGTTATGATGCGTTGATGAAGCCGATTGCTCCAGAATCTGGGGAGAAAAGGATCAATTTGTTCATTGACCTTGTTCATCGTAAACAATTTCAAGATTGTGAGTTTGATCTGTTTCATTTCTCTTATATATTTTAACGCTTTGATTCTCATCATTGAACTTTTCTCACTCTTTTCTTTCTATCGCTTGGTGATCATTTACTAGATTATCAAATTATCAAAAAACCAATTGCAATGAGACAAATCTCGAAAAACATTCAAAATAAGTACAAAACTTTGAAGCAATTCAAAGATGATATCCATTTGATGTTTAACAATGCAAGAACCTACAACGGTACGTTTCTTTGAACTCTTTTGATATATCTTTGTTTGTCGAAATTGAGAAAAGTTCATTTTTCGGTCTTTCATCTGATCAGAGACGGGCTCATATGTGTATGTTCAAGCTGATGAACTACAAGATTATTTCGACCACGTATTCGAGTGTAAGTTATCTCGCTTAATGAATATCCATCGGAATTCTTTAGCTAATCTTCTCATTGTTTGTACATTAAGGTTTGGTGGATGAGACTGGAAAGCCACGTTCGGTTCCATTACCACAAAGACCACCGAATGTGTCAGGATCAGAAGGAGAATCCGATGAAGGATCAGATGAAGAAGAAGATGAAGATGAACAAGCAGAGTTTAATGGTGGTAATGAACCAAGAAATAGATTGAACATCAATGGATTAGAAGATGATTAGATTTATAAAAGATCATCATTGGTTTTTTTTCTTGGTTTGCGAAATGTCAAGTTGGTGAAGGTGTGATATATACAAAAAAAACAAAAAATGGGGTTTGAGGAAATGTGTAGGAGATTTTTTTGGCGCTATAGATAGCGAGATAGCAATTATAGTGTTTGTATTTATTGTACATCACTCCTTTGAAAGAAAAGCAAAGGAAAACGGTTCTGGTGTAAATCTAGAGTAAAGTGAAGCTCTTGAATATAGCTTTTCTGGAATTGAAAGAATTTCTTCTCAACTTGGGTTTGGAGATGTGAGGGTTGTCACATGTGAAAGACTGCTTTATTATCTTTTGTTTGATAAATCAGAAGGGCAATCAAAGATTCATGATTAAGTATTTCTGATCAGCCAAAAGTGGAATGATCATTCTCAAGTCCACTTTCTTTGTACAATTGAGCTTTGATATCAGTAAGGTTTTGATTAAAATCCTTGTTGATATTCAATTCATGTCTAGGTTTTGAAGGGTTTCGAATTCAACTTTGAAAATCAAATTGTATGATTGGCTCAAGGGCCTATTAAGGAGCTTTGTTAGTTCATATCACTTGGTATGCGAGATATAAAGTGGACTTTATATATTTGAAAGCACATTCTTATGCTTGATTATACTCAAGCTCATTGGTAAGTCATTGAAGATAATTAAAGATATATTATTATGTTACATGCAAAGAATCAGACATTAAACTCAAAACATCATCCTCTCCGTCGTTCATCTGGATCCACTGGGGTTAGTATGATATCCAGCATTCTTTCCAGCTTCCCAACCAGTCTTATTGATTGAATCAGGTGGACAAGGAAGAGATTTAGAAGATGCACCTTGGATTGGTGCTGCATTCGGTAAAGTGAATCCAACAGATTGATGATAGATAGCTGTATAATATCCTGCCCAATACTGTGCATTTAACGCGTTTGTTAATGATTGTTTTTGAAGTTCAAGACTTGATTCGAGCGATGGATTGATTGGGGTTTCGATGATTGAAGGATGAGCTGGTACAGGTGTCGTTCTTGTGGTTGATGAGCTTGATAAAGTTGAATGGTTAAATGGAATGGGAGAATTGGCTTTAGAAGAATTCTGACTGATCATCATCTCTTCTTCTTCGTCCTCTTTTGTTGTGCCTTCGAGTGTGGTGATTGGTGTGGTTGTGACTTTGACAGCACTAGATGATGACGCCTCAACACTTTCTTTTTCTGAAGTATTGATAGTATTCTTTTGGTTTAGTACTTCAGGTGGAATAAAGTCACCAAACATTTCAAGGTATTCTTCCATATCCAAATCTGAGAGAACTGGGCTAGGTTGTCTAGGAGCAGAAACTGGAAGTGTATTTTCGGATGATGTTCTTGAATTCGGTACAAATGTCTCTAGTTTAGGTCTTTTGGAGGCTTTCTTCTTGCGAAATGAGGCTGGCGGTGTAGGTCTAGGAGTTCCGTAATATCTAAGGTTAAAAAAGACGTGTTAGTAAGATGACTCGAAAAAGTATCCAACAGGACCGATCACTTACAAGAGAGAGGTCGAACGTCTTTGAGATTCAGTGAGAGGAAGTAAACTTTCGGAAGCTTCAGATGAAACGCCTCTATTACGATGGTAATACTAAAAGCCCCATATAATGATCGCGATCACATTAGTTCTTACTCTGGAAACCAAGAATCAAAAGTTTAAACTCACCCGAAACTCATTCAAAGTAGCTTGAAAAGCATTCACAATCGCATTCTTTGCAAAGATATCACGAAGCTTGACTTCAAACCTTTCTCCCTTATCCTCATAAGTATCAGATACGATTTCATCTTGTGATTTTGCAAGAGGATCGATACATTGTCTAAGCAGACTTGGACCACATGAAGTTTTCTTTTTGTTGTTCGGTTTATGAATGGGATCAGGTTGATTTTCTTTATCATTTAAGTCTCTCGAGCTTCCAGAGTGAGTAAGATGAGTTGAAGTCAATTGATCAAGTTCTGATGAAACATCTTCAAATTTGATTTTTTTAATAGGTCGTGCTAATGATGAATCTTGAAGTCGATCACGTAAGTCAACCGGACCGATCACCATATCTAAGTCTATATTAGGTATTATTTGATCAGAAGTATTATCTAATAATTTCATGGCTGCTGCTTTAACCATTGCAAGTTCATCATCGGCTGGTCTTACTGAACCTTGTCGATTTCTAGATTCAGTTGAAAGTACCGAAGTGGCTCTTCTTCTTTTTTTACGCTTTTGTTTTGTGCTTGGAGGTGCGATTGATGCTCTTTGGTTTTTGATTGAGGAAGTCATGAATCAAGTTTTCTATATTGGAACAGTAAAGGATGAACTGTGATGAGAGTGTGTGGTTGGTTGGTTGATGATGATGTTTTGATCAATTTGATGAGTTTGAGTTTATAACCTTCAGCTTAAGGTTTAAGTGTGACATAACTGACTTAAGTCTTCATACTTCGATTTGAACACTTTGATGATAACATCAACCTGATCACTTTCTATTTGCTCATCAACATAATCAAATCAAATCAAATCAAATGATATCAGATTCAATACATCTTGATTCCACTCAGAATCAATATCATCAACTAGTCAACATCCTCATCAACCTAAAGATGTTAGTTATTTCCAAATAATGATGAATTAGTGAGATATAATCTTGAAAGTAACTCATCAGGTCGATCAATTCGAATTTAATCGTAGAACAGCCATCGAAATATCTCAATGCCCTCTGATTCCTAATCAAGATCCGAACCCATATCATCCCTATAATATCTATGAAGAAGATAAGCTGGCGATTCATCAAAAAACATTATATATGGTCTATGGATACGCTTGTCTCGAATTCGGGAAAGTATACTCTGAATTCAAAAAACGATTTGGGAACCTCACACTTTTTCTCAAGCTCGATGATGATCAGCCTTCTGATGTTCTGAAAGACGATCAAGTGTACCTGGAAGATGATTTGACCGTCGACAAACTTCTCTCTGATTTGGATAATATCACCAAGGTTCTTTTGATTCAAAACCCCGATCACACAACTGCTGCATCATGTCGTAGACGGCTCATTCAGAATTTATCGGATCGTGCTAGCCCAAAAACCCGGTTGCAAGTTCGAAGACAATCATTGATTCAAGACTTTACATTCACCACAATGGTATTATCGATAGCATCACATGCCAAATCTTCTACACTTTGGGAACACCGTCGATGGTGTTTGATCGAAACATATCTATTGAAAGAAAGTGAAAGAATCCCTTCGACCAGAGCTCAAATCATTTCTCAGTCATCTCAGTCTCACAGAACAATAGCACCAGCTAGTTGTGCTTCTGACGAAGAATTCGAGTTCACATCAATATGTGCCGATATTTATCCTCGTAATTACTTTGCGTGGCGACATCGGATGTGGTTACTAGATGGTCTATTCAGTCTAGGTTACAAAGACATGAAACCTTCTCTAGACAAAGAGATTCAAAGATTGATGACATTCTGGCGATCACATCCACGTGATCATTCATGTACTCATTATATTACTTACCTTATTAAGTCTTGGAATACATCTTTTGGCCAAACAATCCATTCCAAAAACATATTCACAGATACATTTCTAACTAGCATTCAAGAAAATCTCCTAGCTTATCCCGATGCTGAAACTTCTTGGTTACTGTTTCGTTGGCTTTTTTCACAAACTGATCTCAGTGAATTATTACTAACAATACCTTTATCTAATAAGATCATCAAGATGCTGGACTCGATAGCTTCAAAGAATTCAGAGACTTTGAAGTCTCGGTTTTTGAACAATGTGTCTTTTGAAGAAAATTCAAGCATCACTTTGTTGGCAAAAGAAATCAGATCTGAGAATCGCACGGCTTGTTTAGGAATCTTGACGTTTTATTGGTTAGCTTTACAGGTTAGTTTTGAAGAAGTATTAAAGATCGAAATCTTATTTGATCTTATTGATTCTGTTCTACATGTCTGATTTGAATATTTTGTTTGAAACTAATCCCACAGGAGCAACCTGAAAGTGAATCTTATGAATTAGCTGAATGGATTCTTAAAAACTTGAAGACTTACCCTCCAGACTCTGATGAATGGCCTTTGAAAGTTTTCACGAGAGTTTCATCATATTTAAAAAAGATCACGTGTCTGAACCAATCTTGAAATGAGGTTGTTTTAGCTTGTAACTTAGATGAAGATTTAATGATCGTTTTTGTTTTTGGTCTCATGTAAAACTACTGATTGAGAAAAAGTTTGGAAAAAGATATATAGCTTGAAATTCTTAATCAGATTTGATCTCACTTTGATCTCTTGGTCATCCAATGCTATAGGATATGATGACTTTTCTTGAAAATTGTAACTCTGAATACAATTGATGAACCTTTTATTGTTTGTGAAGTAAGCATTGCGAGCGTTCACGAATAGAAATTTAAACAATATGTTATCCGATCGATTCGCCAAAGCCCAAGCTGAAACCCTTGTCTTGAGATAGTTGTGACATAGCACGAGTCTGGGAAGAAAATTTCCCCCAACACTTACAACATACAATTACGAATGAATGTCAGTTGAGATGCATTCCCTTGAAGGAAATATAAGGTTTGATGCAGAAACCATCAACTCTTTTAATCGGAATTGAACACGAAACCCTACAAATCCAGTTTATATACTCTAAAGTGTGGTAATTCTTCATACTTACCTTGCGTTTGCAGTCTTGGGTGATCAAGGATACCTGACTGTCGTCAGTGAGTCTGCGCATGGCACAGCGACCCATTCGCTTCACTCAGACAATCTGGCGGGTTTATGTCCATGATGTAAGCCGATGCACAATCTCTTGAACGGACGAACCGGCTTTCGAGCTGGTTCGCCTATCCTTTTTTTCTGATCCTGCCTTGATGCGTTTTAATTCTCAATTAAAAAATACTGGAAACATGATCGCTTTGGTTTTTTGAATCTTTCTTTCTTGGAGACCCCTTGACATCTGATTTGGGTCATCTTGATCTTGTATGAAACTTATTTTCATTCATTTTCATCTCGCACAGACTATCATCAATCTGGTATGTATTCCCAAGAACTTGAGGATACTTTTCAAAATCCTCATTCTTCAAAATTTTCTTTTTGTTTACATCATCATTTATGATTCTAAATTATAGTTAGTTGAGTTGATATGTAGATATACACTTTTCATAAGAATTTTGTAGAAGAAGGATTCACAATCAAACAGTTCCATAAAAAAGCGCTCAAAACCTATACAAACGAATTCAAACCCAAAAAGAGAAACCCCAATCATCAATATTTTTAAAAAGAAAAGAACAATTCAATCTTTGACCTCTCAAAAACATCCATCTTCATTCCAATTGATCAATCATCTTAATTCCAATCCGACCAGCTAAATTTCCAACAGGTCCATTCGAATTCAATTGAGAATTAAAACTATCCAAGAAGCCTGTGATCATTTTACATTCTTTTTCACTTGGATTACATTCTTCATCTTTTTCAATCAATCCAATCGATTCTAATTCGGTTTTCATCATTTCTTGAATCTCTTTCATTTTTAAATCTTCTATTCTTACTTCTTCATCTTCTTCATCTTCTTCATCCTTTTCGTTTTCATTTTCGGTTTGATAATTCGGTCCGGTGAAGTGGTTCGGAATCGGGCCTCCTTTTTTGGTTTTTTGGATTTCTAATTCACTTTCAATCGCATCCATCATACTTTCAAAATCATTTAACTTTTCATTCACTTTCATCGGTTCGGCTTCTTCAAATCTCGATTCTTGTGGGGTTTCTTCTTGATGAAATCTGACTGATTTTTTACCTTTTCTATCTACTTGAGGTCTTTCTGATTCGATGAATGTCTCAATCGGTTCTTTTTCTTTAGTTTTTATAGGTGGTGGTACATAAGCTGTAAAACAAACAAACAGATTTTTACTGGTCAGCTTCTTGATCGACTTGAAAAAGTGAAACAATTCTGACCTCCTCTTTCTTTACGACTACTTAAGATTTCTTGGTACTGTTCTTCACTTAATCCTAAAGCTTCACGTGCAAAGTTTAAAAACTCATCACGTTCTGTATCCATTTCCATTTCAATGTCCATTTCCATTTCATTGTCCAGATTCATCTTGAATGTTTCATCATCATCATCTTCTTCTTCTGATGTTTCTTCATCACACACTCCATCATATGATTCTTTAGTTAAACCGGATGAATCTAGTTTTGTTTCAGATTTCAAAGATTGACAATCGGGTTTAGAAATCGAGGATTGAGAAGTCGATTGAAGATCGAAAAGTTGAGTTTTTGGTTTTAAATTAGAAGACTGATCGTTAGGATGTTGAGCATTTGAATTTATTGAATCATCTTTGTTTGATTTGGATCCCCATTCAGTTTGATCAAAACTAGGCACAATCGATTCTAATCGTTTCTTACTCTGATGATCATCATAATCACTCATCTTAGCTTGAGTCCAATCTCTCGAATCCTTATTCCGTTTCAGGTCTCCTAAATTAGCTCTAAGTTCTTCTTGTTCAGAATCATCATCATCATCATCACTATCCTGATCATCATCTTCATCAGATGAATGTTCATCATCAGAATGTAATGCTCCTTCAAGACTTCCTTGACCATTTACAAAACTTTCCATCCTTTCTGCAAACGAAATCATCTTATTCACATCTTCTTTTGCCATTCTTTCTTCTTCTACTGTTACTTTTTCGGAATTATCTTCAGCTTCATCATTGACTTCAGGGGGGTCTTGTTTAAATAATCGTTGAAGTTCTTCTTCATTTATTTCTAACCATTCATCACTTTCAGATTCAAAGTTCATTTCGTCTATTGAATCATCAGTTTGATCCAAAGAACTTTCTAATAAATCAATTAATGAAATCGAACTTGATTTTTGATTCAAAAAAGTTTCTTTAGCTTTCGATTCTAATTGATTGTATTCTTTTGAACCTTTCAGTTCTGATTTAAAATACCCAACTGATTTTAATTTATTAAGATATTTTTGAAAACTATCCAGTTCTTGATGATATAAGATTTCAAATCCACAATTGATTTTAAGGCCTAGTAATCTACGTTTGAATTCTTGAGTTTGATCTGAAGATTTAGATGATGGATGAAAATCAAGAGATTGAAACCATTGTGATTTTTCAAATGGTTTTGGAGGATAAAAAGTTTGTTGATGATTGAGTAATGAAGCATATAACGGTCTGGTAAGTTTCAAAGGGCTCAGTTTGATCTGGTTTGAAGAGTTGGGCTGATTGGAAATCGGATTAGGTGGGAATCGATTCATTGTTTGACAAACTTTAAAGGTTTGTGGATCTCTTTCCATGAAAGCTTGGATGGCCAATCCGATCAGATTAGGATTCGATCGTAAAACTCTTGAGATATCTCGATGTAAATAAGCATGTGTATTGTAGAGATGATTTTGAATTAATTGATCTGGTGTTGATTGATTTAATCGAAGTTGAATAGATTGATTGATTTGATTTGAAGCAATGGTTGGAAAGGTATCTAATGGTTTTTTAAAGATTTCGAATGCGATTTGATGAGGTAATGGATCATGTTGATAATCCAGAGCGTATGGATGATTCAATGGAATAAGATGTAAATCACCCGATTGAATCCAAACCTGTTCATCCAAAACAAAATCATCAGATTAGGAATGATCAAAATATCAAATCATTCAAAATGAAATTCAAAAAAAAACTTAACTCTGCCTTTGGAAAGATGAGGAGTGATCCATTTAGGTAAATAATCAGCTGATTCGATTAATAAGAATTCACCATCATCATCATTTATACTGATGAGAATTGAAGTAGGAAAAGCATGACTAAGTTGAACTAAACACCAAACCAAAAACCATTCATCTTGAATCGAATCAGAATAAAATAAAGTACCATGAATGAATTCTTGATCAAAGTTAATGGAAAGAATCGGTTTAGAAGTATGCCAAATGAATTGAGTAGTTGAATTTAAATAAGATTCTAGTTTAGATTTGATTTTGATGAGTTGGCTTTCTGATTCTTGTTCTTTTTTGATGATTGGTTTGATTGATTTGTGAGATTGAATGAGTTGTATTTTGAATTCAGTCGTGAAGGGTGAGTTGGTAGTTTCCATTTTATGATGAAGTTGATGAAAGTGGAAATGGTTCATGAGGTCTTTTGCTTTCTCATGTTTTGATTCTTGTATGCTGGTCCCGGGCAGGTCCAGCAGGAAGCGCCAGGTCACGAGTCGGACCGGATCGATGAATTTGCGGTGTTGATTTGAAAATTGATGAGGGCAGCTTTTGGGTTTCTCGTCAACTTTGATCGGTCAACAACAAAACACAACACCACTTCACTCCAAAGACCATTCGTCTTACTATTCATCCATCGATCCATCCACCATGTCTTCACCTCTTTCTCAATCAAATCAAACACTTTCAAAAAGAAAAAGGTATTCCTTCAATCCTTTCCATCACTTTATTCTTTAAAACTCACCATCAACTCTCTTTTTAGGAATTCTAGATCCATCAGTCCAGATCATCCACAGTCAACTAGAACTAAACTATCACCTGACCCGATCTCACCACCGCACTCTCCTATTCCCATCGATCGTATCAACATCCAGATTCCTAGGATTCAAGATGATGATCCGATTCGTAGACGTGAACGTGAAGATCAACTTCGAATCAGATTAGCTGAACAAGAACTATCGTCTCATCAAAAACCTAAACCCGATCCTAAATTAGAAATGCAAAAAGCCGCTGCTACTAGAGCTGGTGGTGCTTATATTCCTCCGGCTAAGTGTATGTCCACCTCTTTCCTCTTCGGGTTTCAATCCAGTCTTCTCATTTGTCCTCACTGATTTCTATTCTCTTGTTTCTGATCTTAGTAAGAGCTCTTCAAGCTGAACTGGCAACTAACGACCCTTCTAGTCCTGAGTATCAACGTATGAGATGGGATGCATTAAGGAAATCAATCAACGGTCTCATCAATAAAGTCAACGTTCCCAACATCAAATACATTGTACCCGAGGTAATGCTTTCTTCTCTTTTTCATCTCTTCAATCCTGATCATTCTCCAAGCTTCTGTTTTCGCTGATCGTATCTTTATTCGCCATCAGCTTTTTGGCGAGAATTTGATTCGTGGTCGTGGCTTATTTGTTCGATCGATTATGAGAGCTCAAGCTTCTTCGCTTCCATTCACACCCGTCTTTGCTGCGCTCGTCTCGATCATCAATACCAAGTTACCTACTTTGGGTGAATTATTAGTCACAAGGGTTGTCAGTCAGTTTAGAAGAGCTTATAGAAGAAACGATAAAGTCACTTGCGTGGCTACTACGATCTTTATTGCTCAATTAGTCAACCAACAAGTCGCTCATCATCTCCTAGCTTTTGAGATGATCATTCTTTTACTCGAAAAACCCACTGATGATTCAGTCGAGATTGCGGTTGGTTTCACCAAAGAAGTTGGCGCTTTCCTTTCGGAGGCTGAACCTAAAGCCAATAATAGTGTTTATGAACGATTCCGTTCAATCTTACATGAAGCTACTATTAGCAAAAGGGTTCAATATATGATCGAAGTCTTGTTTCAAGTTCGTAAGGATCGATTCAAGGATAATCCAGTCTTACCTGAAGGATTGGATCTCGTTGAAGAGGATGATATCATTACTCATCCGATTCATCTTGATGACGACTTACAAGTTCAAGAAGGCTTGAGTGAGTCCTTCTATTCAACTTCAATCTCACTTCACATCATTCAATCTCTGTGATCTGACGCGCTATATTTTGTAGATGTGTTCAAATTTGATCCCGATTATCTGGAGGGTGAAGAGAAATATACAGCCATCAAGAACGAAATCTTGGGAGTTGATTCTGATTCTGATTCAGATTCAAATACATCAGCAGGTGGTAGCGATGAAAGCAGTGATAGTGAGGCTGAGGCTGAAACAGGCATCGGTATGTATACCATCTTTCACTATTTTCTCTGTCATTTGCTCAGCACAAACTGACTCTCATCGCTGGATCTTGATAGTCGATGGCAAGGTTGCTATACATGATCACACGGGTACAAACTTGATCAACTTTCGACGTCATGTTTACCTTACAATCATGTCCTCACTCGATCATGAAGAAGCAGGTCACAAATTATTAAAAGCGGGAATACCAGAAGGACTCGAATTAGAATTGGCTAACATGATAGTAGAGTGTTGTTCACAAGAAAGATCATACTCGAAATTTTATGGATTGCTGGGAGAAAGGTTTTGTAAATTGAATTCGAATTGGACGATGACATTTGAAGAATGTTTTCGAAACTATTATGATACGATCCATCGATTTGAAACCAATCGATTACGAAACATTGCAAGATTCTTTGGTCACCTTTTAGCACAAGATGCTATACCTTGGAGTTCACTTGAAGTCATTAAGATGAATGAAGATGATACAACTAGTTCTTCTAGAATCTTTGTCAAGATTATGTTCCAAGAATTAAGTGAAAGTTTAGGATTACCAAAACTGGCGAATCGATTCAAGGATGAAGAAATGAAAGTTTGGTATAATGGCTTATTTCCGATTGATAATCCCAAGAATACTAGATTTTCGATCAACTACTTTACTAGTATTGGATTAGGAGTTTTGACTGAAGAAATGCGTGAACACCTCAAACGAGCTCCACAGTAAGTCCCTCTGGCGTTATTTTCTTTGTGGACGGATACTGACTTTTTCTCTTTTTGCAATATAGGATCATCATGGCTAAACGTCGTGAATTGGAGGATGCCGAATCTTCTTCATCAGATGATGATTCAAGTTCAAGTTTATCATCAACTGATTCAAGTGACGAGGATTCATCAGAATTGTCTAGTTCAAGTAGTGAAGCATCTGATCGCTCAGATGATCGTCGTCCTCGTCATGGTCATCGCCATCATGAAGATTCAAGACAGAGGCATAGCCCACGTCGCAGTCGATATGAATCTAGGTCTCCGCCACCGGCTCGTCGAAACGCTAGACATGGATCCTCATCTTCTCCACCACCCAGACGAAATGTTGGACGCGATTCTCTATCACCACCACCAGCCAGACGTACTTTTCGTCGTGATTCTCCATCGCCTCCTCCCTCGAGACGAAACACTCGCCGCGATTCTCCATCGCCGCCCCCTGCTAGACGCCACTCTCGTCGTGATTCCCCATCACCACCCCCTGCTAGACGCACCCATCGACGCGATTCTCCATCGCCTCCCCCTGCCAGGCGCCACTCTCGTCGAGATTCACCATCACCAGTACGCCGCAGCTCGCGTCGTGGCTCTGATGCGATCAAACCTCGTGCAACTAGACGTGAATCTGCTTCTCTCTCACCACCAGCTCGTGGACACGAGAGTCCTCGTCACCGCAATGATCACGAAGGACGTTGGAAGGACAGTGCTCGCTTAGATCATTCTAGAGCACGAGATGGCCCAGACCATGATCGGCGCAGGGTGGTTCAGGATGATGAACCTCGTCATAGGAGACGTGATGAAGAGCGTGATCAATCAATCAGACGAAGAGAGGAAGATGGTGGACGTGATCATCGATCTGGACGGAAAGGTAGTGAAGAGCCGAAGCGATCTAGAAGAGAGGATAGAGATGGACGGGATAGAGGAGGACGATCCCGAGCACGAGAATCACCAGCTCCATTACCATCTTCAAGGCATGGTGATCGACATGGACATGAGAAATCACCGGTTCGCGAGGAAGGTGAACGAGGTGGTGGTGGTGGTAGTGGTGGTGGACGAATGATGATGAATCCGGCTCGAGCTGCGATGATTGGAAGGTGAAAGAAGAAGAATAGGAATTCAAGTTGGTTCAAAAGATATATGATGACAAGTTTAAAAGAGGAGGATGGTAGTCTTGGAATCTCTTTTGGAAAAATGTTGGGAATTGGAACTTGTTTATATTTCATTTGGTATTAAGAAAGAGAAGGAGTTTATGTGTGTGTGTGTGTGTGTGTTTGAAAGGAAGTGAACAGAAGGTGTAAACAATAAAAGACTTTTGCTACGTATCATGCGATGTTTGTTTGTGATTTTCTTAATATCATCATTGTCAAGCCAAGTCGTCAAAGGATAATGCGGAAAACTAAAGAAAGCGTAAACAAAACTTATGGATGAAGTTCAGAATGAAGTTCCATACTCTTGTCCCTCTTTTCTTGATTTGAATAAGAAGAAGAAACAATTCGGGGATTATTTTTGTATGTTTGTGTTCAGTTGAATGGATTGATTTGTAATCACCTTGATGGTTTCCAAGTATACCGGATGAATGGATCACAACAAATTCATGAACACTTGACTTCCAATTGCAATTCATCATAAATATTTTGTAAATATATCAAGATAGATTTCTATCTTCAAGTTGATAAGTCATATAGGCAACATTGCTGAAACAGACCCTGCTGATCTCAACTTTTGACATTATGAACTTGTCAGAAATTAGAATCAAAGCAAGATCACCTGATCTACATATATCTCATGTGTGACAGTGTGTGTGTGCATCTCATGATTACACTTGGTTTCATTCAGATCATGGGAATCATGGTTTATCTGTTGATCATGTCAAGGAATGTACTTATCTTGAAATGATAGGATATGTATCCTTTTTTGATCAACTACAAGTTGACTTCCTTCAGCTTGCTTCACTTCAAACTGTTCCAGAATATGTATGTATCTGATTAAATGATTTTAACCTTTGAGTAAGTAATCAAAGTTCAGCTGCATAACTGAATCGATCATATAAATTTCTAAACACGTTTTAAGTCTTTTTACATGTAAGATGATGATCGCGAGTATATGAAGAAACGGAATGGAAGAGGTACAATGTATTGGAAAAGAAGGCATTGTGTTTCGTTTGCCACTTTTGTCTTTTTAACTCAAATCACATTTCATCATATCACGATTCCAAATTGAAGTATGCTTCAAATTCTGTTCTCTTTTTTTATAAAGAATTAGATTTTTTTTGATAAGGTGTATGTAACTAGACATATGAGGAGTGTGATGTCATAGACAGATGACCATGAGGATCAGAGATAAAGGTTTGTTTTACTTGATCAATACGATTTTTTCATGATTCATATTCAACTTTTTTTCATGTGTCGATTTTGAATGAACCATGTGATCTAACGTAGAGTTTCTTTACGGTTACTATGAGAGATGGTTGGGATTTTTTAAGACAAAGTAATATATGCAGTTTACAAAGGATTCTACGTATAAATGTGTCAGTGAAGAACGGTGGCAGTGGAATGATGGTTGGAATGTTTTGATTGATTTGGTTAAAGTGAAGTTGGATTTGAATTTGAACTGATTGCCATTAGTTGCCATCACTGTAAAAGTGAAAAAGTGAAGAAATGGAAAGAAAGCTTGAAGAACACAAGTCTGAGTCTGTCTGAGTTTAGATCTAAGGTGTATGTAGATAATGGATTATAGTTTGAATCTAAAAGCCATCTAATTACATAAAGTTTTAGTTGTGTATGTAATCCGAATTTCCGAAACATTTTAAAAAAAACTGACTTTTGATTCGATGCAGTTTTTTTAAAAACTAGTTTTTAAGTTGAGTTTGTTTGGTTTTCAATTTAATTTAATTTATTTTTTTGATTTCTTTCTTTCTCAATTTTAATTTCTCGCTTAAAGACTTGAATTTATTATTCATCTTCATCCTACTGACTATTGACTATTGACTACTTTACTACTTTATTACTTTACTACTCCTATTAACTATCAACTACTCACCACTCCTATTAACAAACTCACTATCATCCGATTCACAAATCATAAATATATATATAGATTCATCAATAAACCATGTCTAGCTCTCATTCTACTCATGCTTCTTCTTCCAATGTAGTCGGTTAGTCATTCATCTTTCAATTCAAACTCTTTCTCTTCTTATACTCTTTCTAATAATCCTTTCTCTTTGACTTTCATTCAGGTGTTCATTATCGAGTCGGTCGAAAGATTGGAGAAGGTTCATTCGGTGTTATCTTTGAAGGTACCAACTTACTTAACTCAACTACCGTAGCCATCAAATTCGAACCACGCAAATCAGATGCTCCTCAACTTAGAGATGAATATCGCACTTACAAGATCTTGGCTGGATCTCGTTAGTGTTTCCTTTTCGTTTGCTTATATCTTCAAAAGTACTGATTTCGGTCTTCTTGGTTTATTTTGTATAGCTGGTGTTCCTCAAGTTTATTACTTTGGTCAAGAAGGTCTTCATAATATCTTGGTCATCGATCTCTTGGGTCCCAGTTTAGAAGACTTGTTTGATATGTGTGGTCGAAAGTTTAGTATCAAGACTGTGGTTATGACTGCTAAACAGATGGTACGTGGATCTTTTCATTGTCTTACAACTGGAAATTGGATGTATTGATTCTAATTAGCTTTCTACACCCCTATTAACCCGCCAATCGGATTTCGAATCGGATTCATTTTTCTGACTCATCAATTACCCCAATTGAATCTGCATTTCCTTCAACGCACTCTCTACTACTCATGTATTGATCGCTTTAATGAATACATCGACGTCATTACATTTCGAATGAATCCTTTCATACATCTATCAATCTATCAATTAAATGGAACCGATAAAAAAGCTTACCCGAGTCCAAACCATTCACGAAAAGAATCTTATCTACCGTGATATCAAACCTGACAACTTTTTAATCGGACGACCCATGACTAAAGGTGCCAATGTCGTCCATGTGGTTGATTTTGGAATGGCCAAACAATATCGAGACCCGAAAACAAAGGTTCATATTCCATACCGAGAACGTAAATCATTATCTGGTACCGCTCGTTACATGTCTATCAACACCCATCTTGGTCGTGAACAATCTAGAAGAGATGATTTAGAAGCCTTGGGTCATGTGTTCATGTACTTTTTGAGAGGTGGTTTACCTTGGCAAGGTTTGAAAGCTGCTACTAACAAACAAAAGTATGAGAAGATTGGTGAAAAGAAACAGAGTACTCCGATCAAGGAGTTGTGTGAAAACTTCCCAGGTTTGTTTTAGTTTTGCTTTGCATCTTGAATTTAATGAAGCTTATAACTCTGGTCTCTTTATCATCGGTCTATGCTCTTTTTCAGAGGAGTTCAGCATCTACTTGAACTATGTAAGGAAATTGGGCTTTGAAGAAACGCCTGATTACGATTTCTTGCGGGAATTGTTCACCAAGGTCCTCAAGAACACTGGCGAGGCTGAGGATGGGGTTTATGACTGGATGATCTTGAACAACGGTAAAGGATGGGAAGCCAGCTCAACTGTAAGTGGAACTCTCATCAGCTCACTTGAACTACTAGCCTTGTCCTGATCATCAATCAATGGCTACAGAACATGGGTCACCTTCTTCCTGCACACGACCCACGACAACATCGATCATCACGCCAACCACGAGAGACCGAACGAGAAAGAGCCGAGAGACATGCGCTCAGAGCGTCTCAACAAGCCCTTAACGGATCAGCCACCGCTCAACACAATACTTCCAATCTAGGCAGGAGAGGATCGAAACAAGAAAGAAACTCGACTCATCTGAGTACCAACATGCCGGGGGGATTACCTACCCAACCATCTTCTACGGTAGCTATTGCTCCTCCTACTACGATGGAAAACCATCGAAATTCTGCTCTACATCCTTATGCCAGTCCGTCTAATAATGGTCTATCTAATAACAATTATGGTTATGGTACTCAGCAACAGCAGCAATCTCAATCCCAACCGACGGAAGATTACCGACGTAGTCTACAACCACCTCTTCAAGCTCAGTCACCTCATCAAGCTGCCGGTCAACAACCCTTGGTCAATCACGAGGATGCTCCTAAACCGAAGAAAAGCTTTGGGACTAAGCTGGCCAATTTCCTGACCTGTCGTTGTGCTTGATCGCTCACCTACGATCAATATTTCAACTCGCGGCGTTTGGCGAAGGAACATACATGAATGCGGTCTTTTGGATTTTCTCTTCATCTCTCTTTTTCCTCGGTCGATTGCAATTACGTGTGTGTGTGTGTATTTGATCTTTGATGATGTTGGGTTTCTCATCAAAGAAAAAGAAACCAAGAAATCACAAACCTTTTATCTTCTATCCTAATCCTTTTAATGACAGTCGCTTTATGTTTGTTTTCGATTTCAATATCATTCATACATGAAGAAATTAGACCAAGAGAGGTGAAAGAAAAGGAGGTTTTTGTAATCTTGTTTTCTTTTTTTCCTTCTCCTAACCGCTTTCGCTTTCTTTCTCCTTTTTTCCTCTTACTATGATTACGATTCTTAGAATAACTCTCTTATTAGATAATCATCTTTTTCATCATTTTTTTTGCGTACAATTTTTTTTTTATTATTGTCTGTCTTTGCCTCACTTAACTCTTTATTTTTTTTGTCTCTCTCTCTCTATCTCTATCTGTGTGATTGTTTCCGTGCGTGTGTGTATGCGTTCTTCTTCTTGGATTTCTTTACTTTCTCTCTACTCTTTCCTCACTCTTTTCTTTTTTGGTTTATCTGATCATTAACTCAACACTCGTTTAAGAAGCTTTTTTTTCTATATTTTTCTCCCTTTAGTTGAATAAAATCTCAAACTCTTTTTATTTTTGTCCTTTTTATTCTTTTTTGATCTCTTTTTTTTGATTTAGTCTTTTATCTTATTATTATATTGCTAGTTTCTTTTTGTTTTTTTGATGTTGAGATGTTACTTTTTTTTATTAATATATCATTTTTTTATAAAAAAACATTTTGGGGAGAGAAATTGATTGATACCAAAAGAGAAAAGTATAGGAAAGTTTGATCAAAGTATACAAACTTTCTTTGAGTTTAATAATCGAGTTTGGTATATCAATGATTGGGTCCATTGGTATTAGAACCATTTCTTGAGTTTTTCAAACCTGACAAAATCCTTGCGGGACAGGTGGTGATCAAGTTTTGAGTTGTTTTTGATAAAGTTGAATCCACTTGGAATGATCAATCCAAGAGTACATAGAGCTTTTAAACCAATTTTTAGGTGAACTCTTCATGATGAGATGTGCTTAAAGTGAATCAGTGAGGCAAGTCTTTTCAGTTTCTTCTTTTCGTACTCATTTCCTTCATTGCCAAACTTCGATGTCTTTATCAACTCTAACAAAAAAACTTTGAAAACTTGTACTGGGCAATCCGGCATCCTGGCATTTATACCTCGAACAGCCTCTTAGAACGAGTCATCTTGTTCTCTCGTAAACTCTGAGCTTAGATCCTCTTGACACGAGGCGTCGTCGCTCCCGAGCCCGCAAGGGTTCTCCCGGCGTTCCCGCTCAATGCCACCTTCAAGCCATAAACCATATTTTGAATCGAAATACACGAAAAACAGGCCAAGATTTCACCCGATTGCACGTGGGTGGCCGATGGCGCTAATTGGCCTTCCGCATTACCACATGCCGGAAACAAGCGCCATGGTAAGACCCATGACTCTGGTAGGCCGGCCCCTGGCCACGCCTTGAGACATGAAAAAGGCGCAGGGTGTGAGCGTGAGTCCTGACGCCGCTTCCATCAGGAGAAATCAACATTCCAAAAGAACAAAAGACAAGCTGAACTACAGATTGACCTACACACGCTTTCTTCTTGATCTGTTTTTGTTCCTCTTGAACGAAATCTTACTTATTTCAAATTATTAAAAGTGAAAATCACTTCAATTGACGTTCATCCACCTCTGTTGTTGAACTCAAGATGTTACAGATATTCTCAAGGATCTTCATTTTACTGCTTGGACTTTCAATTCATCATTTAAAGGGATCGATGGCTATACCATCTTTTGCTTGTAACGAAGGATTTGCGATCATCAAAGCCCCTGTGACTCAAGGACCCGTAAGTGCAGGTATGTGATTTCTTTTGAATATTTTCATTGGCTTTAAAGCTCTACTACCAAAATGATTTGAACCAGTTGTCTAACGTCGAACGAAATGATGGACTTGTTGACTTCTTTCGTGATCTTTGACAAATGAAAGTTTGTAAGGTAGGATATCCTAATACGAAAAAGTTTACATGTAATTGGGAAAGTTGTATTACTGCCGGTAAGCATCCATATCCAAATCCATAAACTGGTTTTTCATTACTTTTGATATATTTGAGATTAGATTGTAAACCTTTAGTAAAATTTGATCTCAAAGGCTAATTTATTTGTGTGTGTTTTTCTTCTTAGATATCACTACTGTTCAAATGTCTAAGTGTTTATACATTGGATCTACAGATAAAACTACAAGTGTTCAATCGTGTTCTGAATATGATTATAATCCATCAAAGAATAATATGAGTGAGTAAAGTATCTTCAAAAAAAATTCTATCATCTGGCTTCATCATGCACCACACAAAATTAACTTTTTTTTTTTTGATTCTACGAAATTTATTTTGGTTTTTCTTTTTTTAGTTTGTTATACTCTTGGTCAGAAATCTTATGCTTGCCCTTATAATCCTGCTAATTCACCTCACTTTGGTCAGTTTTTATCTTTTTGCTTTGGTTATTAATTAAACGTTTGATTAACTGATTGGTGTGTTTACTTTTAGTTTGTACTGATTGCCAGCCGACGAAGTAATAACATAAAGAACGGTGCTTGAAGACCTTCTAGGATTTTAAGAATACTGTGATTTGTGAAAGAGTTGTGTTTTTTTGGGTTAAGATCTTATGCAGTGATAGATCAAGATGAACCATTTATGTTTTGATGGAATCATAAGTTGTTAATCTAGCTTGCTAAAACTCTAATATATCGTATTGGTTTTCCGCTCAGTGCTATCAAACAGTTGTACATAGTTGACGTCAAAATTCTAGAGATTGCAATTTCTTTAGTAACTTTGGATGAGTCTTGGATTATTATAAGCTACCTAGGTCTTGTGATCTTTGAATAAGTAAAACAAACTTCTTCAAGATCTTTTTGTTGGATATCTAAGAAATCATATTTCGGTACATTGGGATGCAAAAGTTCAAAAGTCTGGCGATGGTGTGACGTAGAACAAGTTCGGATTGGACCGGCAGGATTTGTGGTGAGTCAGATAAGGCACGTGTCATTTCTTGATCGAGCATAATTGATCTATTTCAATTGCTTCTATCACCTTTTTCAATAACTTGAAGGTATTTCAATCATACTGCGATGAACAGGTTGACGGCGCTGATGCTCAATAGCTCCGAATCCAGAGTTACTAAAAGATCTATTATTCAATAACCAATAAAATTATGATCTGGTACCGACCAGATGTCTTGTAACCTAGCCTAGGAATAGCTTTGGAGATGATGAATGTCCTGCTGTTGGAACATATACTAAACAGCGATTGAAGAGTGACTCCTTCAAACGGGATTTGAACACGAAACCCTACAAATCCAGTTTATATACTCTAAGGTGTGGTAATTCTTCATACTTACCTTGCGTTTGCAGTCTTGGGTGATCAAGGATACCTGACTGTCGTCAGTGAGTCTGCGCATGGCACAGCGACCCATTCGCTTCACTCAGACAATCTGGCGGGTTTATGTCCATGATGTAAGCCGATGCACAATCTCTTGAACGGACGAACCGGCTTTCGAGCTGGTTCGCCTATCCTTTTTCTTTTTACCCCTCTAATCTGTCATGTAGGATATGATCGGCTTGCTTTTCAGATTTGTACCCTGAAATCTGATCGGATGAGGTTAGATATGATGTTTAGATGATCGACGTCTTGTTGCTAATTAGACGCTTTAGACCATTTCGTTTGTGTAAGCAGGGCACTCTTGTGTATAGACTCACGTTTGATTTCCTGATTTGGTACAGTCAAACCGGAAAAGCTTGCCACCAATTCCCCGCCAATTTGCTCGAGTTTTGCGGGCAAAATTGGTCAAGCTTTTCCGGTTTGACTGTAAGCTTTTATCAGGATGTGCTTATCTGGAGTCGGACGAAGCCGAGAACATGATCACAGATAATCGGGTTTATCTGATCCATGTCAAAATAAGGTCTTCTTTGGCTCATTGGCTTGATCGGTCAAATTTGAAATCGATGATTTATAATTTAAATTTCTACCATCAAAAATTGTTCAAGTTTTCAAAATTAAAAATGGAAATTAAACATTTCATATGTACTAAAATAAAAAACTAAAAAAATAAAAATATTAAGATTGAAAGATAAAATATACTAGAAGAAAAAGAGTAGTGTCCAGAAGAAAAAGATAATAAGTTAATGAAATGAATGAATGACTTATAAATTGGATCGAAAAAAAAAGAAGAAAAGACATTAACAAAGAAAATGATATTACAAGGTGTAATAAAGAGAAAAAAGAAGATCTTTTTCCTTTGAGAGTTCTTTATTCGTATTGAAACAAATCAAAATCAAGAGATCAAAATCAAAACTACATTTAAAAAAAAAGATTCTTTTGAACCATGAAAATCTCATTTAATGACACGATTTATTCTTATGATGAGATTAAAAATCTAAAGAAGAAGAAAATCTAAAGAAAAAACAAATCTAAACAAATCAAAAAACAAAAAACATAACAAAAACAAAACAAATACTTAAGATTGTTTGATGTTGGATTATTTGTTATACATCCCATAGACACTAAAAGTTGGACTTCTATAATCGGGTTGATCTTGTCTTTTGAAATTCATTTGACCAAGTGGAATAAACCCATCGTGATGAGAAGAAAGACCTTCTTTGGCTGCTACTACTACTGGTTGTTGTGGTTGTTGATCATAAGTACTGATTCCACAATAAGCATCTTCAATAGGATGATTAATATGTTGAGATTGACTCAGAGGGTCAGATCAAACCATGATCTCAGGTAATGGTAAAGAAGCAGTTTGGAATGAAGGATACAATGGGTTGGATTCAGGTGAAGTTTGAATAGATTGTAACTCAGGTAAATCAAATTTAGATATAGGATTAATGATAGGTAAAACATTTAAGATTTCAGTTTGGCTTTCTTGATTTTGAATTGAATTTAGATCTTGAAGGTTAGGATAAAGTTGAGAGTATCTAGCAAATTGACCTGGTTGAACTCCTTCAGGTTGACCAATTTGTCCAGTATAATTCGAGATATCACACATTTCGGAATAATAACTTACCCCACAAGTCGGAGGGTTTGTAAGGGTGGCTGATGCGTCTCCTATGATTCTAGGTGTATCTGATGATGGAATAGATTGAATCACTTGTCAATCTCTTTCTTCTACGGTAGGATTGAAATTAGGTGATTGACCATAGAATGGTGTCACCGGGTTATAAATCGTTGAACCTGAATTTGAAAATCGGTCTTGTAAATGACGTGCACTTTCAGCTGGAGAAGGTTGTGGTGATAAAGCTTTATCAAGACAATGAAGCATATCTTCTAATTCCTTAGAAGCTTCTAATGGACTCATCAATGGTCGGTTCGAGTTTGAGGCATAATGACCAGGAAGAAGACCATTAGGATGAGGCAAAAGGCTCCTAGAAATCGAATTTGATCCTGGAAGCATAGCAGGCGTAGGGATAGCTAGCTGGATGGTGGGATGGTAAGGAATTGCAGAAGGCATGCTAGGGAAGTCCGATGAGAAATCACAAAGTACATGTGAGTCTGCTGGCATAGGATCAACTGCAAAAGATTTCAGAACTGTAAGCCAAAGTGTGCACTCAAAAGATGATATACAAGACAAAACCACTTATGTTCAACCTTGCCCCATCCATTTGCATTTCCATAAGCATCAGTCAAACCCATGATTGTATCTTTCTTACGTCTTTCCATCTCCTTTTGATGATCGGATTCCCGATCACCGATTTCACTTAACCAATTCATAGAAGAAGAAGTAGGAAAGTTAGGTTTCATTGGTCTAGGTTTATGACGACGATCAGAAGTGGATTTAGATTTGATTAATTCGGTTTTCTTAATCGATAGATGGTTTGGTAAGACTTCATTAGAAATTTCATCAGATGAGACTTGATGAGCTCTTTCCCAACCATTATAAACTAAACCATTGACACTACTATTATTGTAATCAGAATCAAGACCCAATTGAGAATCTTTTGAATGATGAACGTTTTCAGGGATTGAAGGGATTGAAGATAGTTCAGATTGGCTTAACATCACGGCTGGACCGAAATCTAAATCTTCATAAAGTGATTTGGTTTCATTTCTTTGTTTATTGATGGATGTATTATAAGGTAATGGAATATGATAAGTTGTATCACCTAAATCTTCAGCACTACCCCATAATTTAGATTCACGATTTTTCGAATTTCGATTTTGATTAGTACGACCAATTGATTTAGATAAAGAAGATTTTTCTTGAATCAATTCATCTCCAATTTGATTTCCATTAATCTTATTTAATAATTTGGTATCATTCAGTTTAGGTTTTTCGGATTTGGAATCATAAAATGAAGTTCGATATTCATCTACTCCCCAAATCAATTTATGTTTTCCTTCACAGGCTAAAGAAAGAAAGAAAGAAAGAAGAAAAGAAAAAAGTTAAGAAAGGGTTTTTCGGAAAAAGCTTTTTTGGGGATTTAAATTGATGAAAATTCACTTACTTCTTTTTCTATTACAACATTTCCAAATCCCAAAAAATAAAACTGCAACACAGATTGTAGCTCCACCACTGATTGCATAAAGAGTTGTGGGTGACATTGTACGAGATGCTTCTTGACCAGCATCTGGATCAACATTCAAAGCTGGAGCTTGTGCTTCAGGAGTTGTGATAGATGAGATTGGAGAGCTTTGAAGATAAACCATTTGATTAGATTAAAGGATTCTGATTCAAAACAAAAACAGGTGGACTACTCACGTTGTGGGACGTTTAGCATTCGTGCTTGCAGTTTGACAAGACTTACTGGGCAATGTCAAAGTCACTGCACTAATATTATGAGGAGCTTTTGCAGCCTTTGTGGTATTGGTAACTGAAGTAAGATTCTTGGCTAGATGTTTGGCGGTGGGCGTAGTAGGAACATCGTCAGTTGAATTATTCGCTCCAGTAGTATTGTTATCTGTTGAGGTATTGTTTGAATCTGAGTCGGTGGGATCAGGTGTCACACGTCGAAGGTTAGAAACAAAGTTATTGATATTTGCTTGAGGGATTTGACATTTGGTATGAAGTCCTTTAAATGAAGAATGAGTTGTTGTAAGACTATGTTTGAACTTTTTCATCTTAGACAAATCAGATAATTGAGACATCACAAGAAGATGATTATGTGTATTCAAGTAAATTATTTCTATGAAAGAAAGATGAGTTTTTTAAATGTATATCTATCAACCAAGAAAGGCGAATGAAAGAAAGATATAAAAAGAGATTATTTATTAATTCTTTCGAAAAAGAAGAGATAAACCTGAATTGAATTAGGTAAGATTCAGAAAGAATGTGTGTTATAACAGAATCAAGATTAAAGTGTGTGTTTTTTGATGATAATGATGATTAGGTGAATAAATTATTCATTAAGTGGACCGATTGTGTTGGGTCTTCATGTATTTGATTGATAAGTATTGTCCGAGAGTGTGTGGGTTGGGTTTAAAGGAGAAAGGATCCTATAAATAATCAGATGAGCTCTGCAGGTACAAATCACAAAATTGTAGTCATTTGACTGGTCACAAAATGTTCATAGGATAAAAGATTGGTGTGGATATAAAGATACCTGATAAAGAAATAAATACGCACTTTCTTGCCGCGGTCTCTCCTTGATAAAGAGAAAGTGTCTTTAGGATAGTAAGGATGTAGGGGTGAAGGAGAGGGATTTTTGAAAATAAATTGATTGTAGAGTGGATATCAACGATAAGCTTGAAGAAATGATAAAAGTAAAAAAGTAGGAAAGAAAGGAAAAAGGGAAAAAAGAAGGGGATTAGAAAGGGTAAACAGGTACCCCTTTAAAAAGATAAATAGAAGATGGCGGTCGAGAGAGAAGTTCTTTGATAGGAAAAAAAATCTTTTTAGTGGTCCTGAAAAAAGTTTATCTTAATATCAAAAGGCTTTACTGTATGATTGATGATTAGGTTGATGATATGCTATTTAGATAAATAGATATTACTTGAAAAGAAACATTGAGTAATTTAACCACCACACTGAAAATGTGGATCAAGGAAGAAAGACGAAGAAAAAGAATTGAAGAAATTGAGCCATGGACTGAAGCCATCTTTGCTTAACGGTCAAGGAGGCCGAAAAGTGAGAGTGGATTTGGTTGACACTAATGCTAGTAGCCTTGGTGAGACTAGTTTGTGCCTGGAATCTTTGCAAAGGAGATCTTTATAGAACATTCATCTTTTCATTTGAGCATGGCAAGACCTGAGGTTTGATTTGTATGGAATACATGTAGACTCATACCGACATATAAACATGACTTGGATTCCACATGTAATTTTTTCATGTCATGTTTGGTCGAAATTCATCTCCAAGCCAAAAACCGTCCGACATGACTCATACCGACACACATCGACATGGATTTTTGATTCAAAAAAACCGTGTCGTAACATGAGTCATCTCGTACATCATGCCGTCCGGGAAGTCTCATACCAACACAACATGACTCCAGATGTTTTTTTTTGTAATATTTCAATTTAGAGTCCAAAAAAAGAATTAAACACTCAATCACCAACACCCTTCTAGCTTGACAGTCAACACCTCTTGATTCATTATTCCACCCACACTCTTCTTCCTTAATCTTGCTTCTCCACAAATAATGCCAAAACAAAACAACAAAGCTATTATCAACTTGGTACTGGAAAATGGTTTCAACAACAGACTCACCATACGAGAAATACAAGATGAACTTGCAAAAGAAGGAATAAGGCTGACCAAGAGAACAATCAATCGACATCGTAAACATTTGAATCACAACAAAACTCAGCCTCCCCTTCGCAAGAAACAGCTTCAAAGACGTAATGCCATCAGCAAACACTTCCATGAAGGCAAATCAATCGAAGAGATGCTCATATGCTTGAAGAATGAGGATCATATCAAAATTAGCTGATCAACCTTAGCTCGTAATTGCAAAGACATGAACCTAACTCGTAAGGTTGATGATATCGACAAAGGAAAGTACACAGAAGAAGAGGTAGGCCAGCTTGTTACCGATATCCAGTCAGAAAATGGAGGAGAAGCTGGCATTTGTTCCATCAAGAACATTTTACTCAAGGAACACAATGTCCACATTCATAGGTCTGCTCTTCACCTTGTAATCTATCTGACAAGATGCATACTTACCTTTTTACAAACAAACAGAGACCGTCTTGCAGAAATGTTGAGGCAAATTGATCCAGAAGGAGTATTACGTCGGCAAAGAAGAGTCCTAGTTCACCGTACTTTTAGGTGTCCAGGTCCAAATCATATATGGTTGGCAGACGGTCATGACAAGCTCCAGAAGTGGGGCATTAGGATATATGGATTCATCAATGCTTGGTCTCGCCGCATTCTGGGTCTCTTTGTACATGTCACCAATAGTGACCCCCGTCATATTGATATATACTATCTTCAATGTGTTAAAAAGTATGGTGGTGCACCACAGTATCTTTACACTGATCGAGGCACTGAGACTGGGAAGATGGCAGCCAGTCACTCTGTGTTTGTTTGTATTCACGGCGGAGTTCCAGAGGAACGAGCATTGAAAAGACACAAGTTTACAAAATCAGTTCGGAACCAGAAAATAGAGTGCTTTTAGAGTCAATTAATGCAACGACATAATCGTGGTGTTGTTCAAAGACTTTTTAATTCACTCGAAGCTGATTTCTTTGACCCTGACATTCAACTTGATTGGTAAGTGATACTCCTACTCCTTTTAGAATGAAAGCTGACTGTTACTTGTTTTGAAGGCTTTTGTTCCTTTATTTGTGGATTCCTTCATTCAGAAGCAGTTGGATCTATTTACCGAACAATACAACCAGAGCAAACGTAGAAAGGATCCTCACTCCGCCCTTCCCAGTGGTCACAGTGCTGACTTTTGCTACAAAAATCCTGTTGAGTTGTTTGATGGGGATGATGGGTTGATTCATGTCCCCCCTGAAGACATAGATAGTCAAATCTTAGAAGATTATCCTGAGATACATAGTTTGTTTACTTACACACCTGACTGGTTTTCATTGGTTGCAGATCTCATCATGCCCACCTTGAATCTCTCACACAAGAACCTCAAGTACTCTAATATATGGGTTGCATTTTGCTTTATGCGTAACACTTTGTTAGATCACAACTGGTATGGCACTCTCTTTGAAGGAAAAGATCTAAACTCTTTTGGTACTTTGTGATGAATGTTTTATAATTCTATTTGAAAACTCATGTTTTATATGCATCTTTTCTTGGATGGTTTTTTTAGTTCTTGATTAAAAGAGACAAATATGTTTTTTTGTTTACGGAAAAAAAAATAAACACTGATTCATAATGTGATAAAAGGAGACAAACTGTTTATAAAAATAGAAAAAAAAAGTGAAATTACAAGGATTTCAATTTTGCTTTGAAAGCTTCCATCTCATCCTTCTGCTTCTGACATTTTATCATATCACATTTACGAATCAACTCGTCTGCATAATTTTCAACTAATGTTTCTTGGTAAATTTCCCACTCTTCATCGCTCCTGTTGTCTTGCATGTCAGTAAGCTGGTTAAGACGTTGAACTATACTTTTAGCAATTTGACAAGATGATCCGAATCGGGTTATCTTTGCATCCTCTGGCTTGATAGGTTGATGATCATGAGTAAAAGTCTTCGAGTGAGTACTGTAGTGTTTGATGTCTGATGCCCAAACCATTTCAACAACTCCATCACATCCATCAAAATTAATGTCAAAATTGTAGTCAGGAAATACAAATCGGGCTCCTTTAGTATAGCCATGCTTTGAGGTTCTACCACTTCAATACAACCTACCTGTATCCCGATGAATCAGACTAAATAATCCAAAGGTATAGCCGGAGTGATCGTTATCAACATGCACCTTGTTAGCAAACTCATCACGTGTGATAACAAAATTGGAACCAAAGACACGTCCATTGGGTGATTTGAAAAAAGACTTTGATGCCCAGGATGGTGGATGACATTGTGCAGCTCGTTCACAGTTGGATTGAAAGGCACCAAGGGATAGAGATGCAAATCGTTCCGCTAAGAAGTGATTGATATATGGAAGGTACATCTGACGACGTAAGTCATTTTCCATTCGAGCCACAAGGCGTGCAGTAGTCGGATTGAGAGCGTAAGGACCTAGTAGCCAAAAGAATAAAATCAAACTCTCCTCCAAATCATAGAAAAGTTAAAACAATAATAATAATAAATACACACCACCATATTTTTTCTTCCTATATCCACCACGAAACCCCATCACAAACATCTGACCAGATTTCATGTGCTTCAGAGCTTCAGCTGCACCATTTGTCACACAGCGATATCGGGTAGTTCCGTGTTGATATGAAGTCATGATTGAGTTGTTGAAGTTTTCAAAGAGTTTTGCACATTCAGGTACAAGTTCGCGCTTCAATTTTCCTGTGTTCAACCGTTTTCCAGTATATTCACGTTTGTTGAATCGGACCACAGCAAGGAGCTTCGTTCCATATTTATTCAATAAGACTACAGTACCAAACGTAAGTGATAAATGTTTTTGTTTTCCATGCTCAGTTCGAAAGATGAATGTAGCATCTCTAGGAAGACCAAATCAATCACGGATCTTCTGTTTAAATTCAGCACAAATGTGAGCTTGTTTCTCAGCTCGATTCATGTTCAACGTCTGATCAGAAGAAGGGGTTGGGGTATTTGGATGATGAAGCCAATGAGCAATGATCTTGGTTTTCTTGATTGCTATTCGAATTTCTACTTGATCAGCTTTAAGCTTTTTTCGACCACGTTTCTGTGATGGAGATCTATATTTCTTCTTATCACTAATAAAAGACAAAATTAAAAGGTCATCAGCTAAAGATCCCTTACAGTCAGATAGCAACCCACTTTCAGCGTCCATCCCACACTTGGATAATGATGATTAGGCTTGCATAAGGTCTGCGTCAAACCCTACCCACAAGAGTCTGGTGCGTGAAGCCAACCCAGTCTTCTTGGGGAGGACAAGTACAGTTGAACCTCAGCAGTGACCGTAGATCATCATGATCCAAAACCAATTTGATAGAGGAATGGAGATCAAGTAGTTCCGCATTCACATAGTGAAGAATGAACATGCAAGATCTGATTCCATCCTCTATCAAATTGACCTGTGAGAC